GATGTGGGCTAGGTGATAATATACTTACATGGATCCAGAATTGGCCGAATGTCTGTAGCCAAAGAGGAGCCATGAATAATTTGATGTCAGCATGGAAGAAGGTCTCTACTGAGTGACCCAAATGATATAAAGCATTGTGCTTTCTTGTACTGTTCACATTTTTATCAGGGACTTGGCTGAAAGCTTAGATGGCGCGTTCATCAGATTTGCAGATGACACAAAGCTGAGAGAAATAGTTTAACATGTTAAACAGAATTGGATTCCTAAAAATTCTAACTAGAATGTTAAATTAGAATGCTGGTTCCCCACCCCTGTTAAAGGTAAAATTTAATAGGGATAAATGTAAATTCAGCCTTGGGTTTAAGAAATCAGCTTCACAAGTTGACTGGATAGCATTTGATCTGAAAAAAAAAATCTGGAGGTTTTTAATGAACGGCAGACTTAATATGCACAGGCAAAACGATGTGGCACGCTCAAAAGAAGAGAAGGATAGGGCGCAGGACAAGGGAGGAGATAGTCCTACCGTACTTGGTGATCAGAAGGAATGAAGGGACCTAAAACCATGCCATAAGAATGATTAAATGAACTGGAGGAGAGAGAACTTGAAGGTGAGGAGAGGAATGATTACTGTCTCCAAATATTCAAAGGGCTTGCAATTAAAAAGCTATTAGATACTATATGTAATTTCAAAAGTCAGAACCAGTGCCAATGGGTGAAACTTATAGGGAGATAGGTTTTAGCTAAATATAAAGATCTTATTAACAATTAGAATTCTTAAAAAATGGAAAGAACTGCTTTGTGAGCCAGTTAGGTGGCTTATTGGATAGAGCACTGGGCCTGGAGTCAGTAAGACCTGAGTTCAAATTTGAACTCAGACACCCCAGGTAAGTCACTTAACCTTTATCTGCCTTAGTTTCCTCAGCTGTAAAATGGGGATCATAATAGCACGTGCTTCACGCAGTTGTTGGATCAAATGAGATGATAATTAGAAAAGTGCCCAGCACATAGTAATTGCTTAATAAATGCTTGTTCCCACCCCCCCACCCTGTCCCTTTCCATCCCCCATTAATGAGCTCCCCATTACTAGATGTGCTTATTCAAGCCGAATGAATAATCAGGAATAATACAGAGGGGATTCTTACACATTGGATGGGAGATTGAACTAGATGACTTCTAAAGTTGATATATAATAAATGTCTTATAGATTTCTCTTCCTTCATTGAAAATGTGAACAGTATAAAAATAGATTAATTTGTACTATTTCTAGCTTAGTATATGTGATATAATTAGTCTTTCAGGAGATGCAATATTTGCTAATAAAGGGTAAATTAAGATTTGACCAAGTCAGTGCTTCATTTTCCCTAATTGTGAAAGGACATTAATCTCCCCCTCTGGTTCTCATATTAGGGATTAAAAGAAATGCATTTTTGTTAATGCATTCTGAACTAGCCCAGTGTTGGAGATGGACATGTTAATCTTCATTTTGCCAGGTAGTAAATGAGTTCTGGTTGCTTATTAGAGTATTAGACTGAGAGTCGGGAAGAACTGAATCCTGCTCCCACTCATTTATTAGCTAGATAAGTCATTTATCTCTTCCTGAGTTTTAGTTTTCCCATCTAACAAATGGAGATATCAACTCACTCATAGAATAAAATAAAATAATGTATATAAAGTAAGTGCTTTGCAAACCCTATAGCACTATGTGAATGTGCACTCTGATCATGACTTTTAGTAGTACAGTAATTTTTCCCTACTTTTATTATTGTAAGTGTTCAAAATGTAAAATTAAGATGAAGTATGACCAATATTGCTCTTTGTCTTTTTAATACATTGTCCATGCATTTGATTACCATACTGCCTTACAGATTTTGAATATATCTTGGATAAAAAGAAAAAACCTTTTCCTCATAGAAATCAGGGTGTGTTCTTGAATGAGCTGCCAAGTGTATACTGGAGACCAGATACCCATGATAGTAGGTCAGGACTGCCACCAGGAGCACAAAGGTAAATTGTATTCAAATTCTAGATTTTGTTGGGCCAAAGTCATATTATACAATGAATTTATCAATCAAAAAGGACATCTTTGCTATATTTTTGCATAAATTAGCTTGTCAGTTATATGTAATTTAAGTAGGATATTTTGATGTTCTAATTCCTTTAATTTTTGTTATTTTAAAACAGCGTTTTGCATATGGTAGGCATTTAAGTGTTTGTTGAATTGAAAACATTTTTGTTTCCTGGAAACTTGTACTTATTCAGTCTTATTTTGATATCAAAAATAAATGTTCTTTTGTTCTATATAAGGGTTGCTTTGGAATTTTTGGATTCACGAGCATTTTGTAAAAACATCCCCCACTTAAAAGGAAGATCTGCTATGAAAAAAAGACATCTGGAAATTTTGGGTTATCGTGTGATTCAGGTATAGTACAAGCTCAAAATGTCCTACTAGAAAAAACTAAACCACTTAGGAGCACTGCATATAAATGTATTTTTCTAACATCTAGCACGCTACCTGGTAGATAGTAAGTGTTCAGTAAATGCTAGTTGATTGATTGATGTTTTATACTAATATGAAATGGGCAAAATTATTTCATTAACTTGAAAATTCCAGGGGCAGCGCAGTGGATAGAGCACCGGCCCTGAAGTCAGGAGGACCCGAATTCAAATCCAGCCTCAAATCAAACACTTGACACTTATTAGCTGTGTGACCCTGGTCGAGTCACTTAACCCCAATTGCCTAAAAAAAAGAGGAAATTCCAGAATTCCCTCTTTCATATTTTGAAGAAAGCAGAAAATTCTTATTTCCTCAGTTGTTACTTTCTTTGGAAAACGTGTTGACTTGAGAGCAGAGGGGGGCCAGTGCAGAGGGGAAAGAATCATGAAATCACAGACCTAGAGTTGGCAAGGGCCTCAGAGGCCATCTATCCAGTCTTCCCTCTACCCCCCCGCCCACCTCTCTCCCTACCCTCATTTTACATGTGAAGAATCTGAGGTCCAGAATGCTAGGTGACTTGCCCAGGGTTACAGAAGGCACTAAGAGGTAGAGGTGGGATTTGAAATCAGGTCTTCTGACTCCAAAGTCATCTCTTTCCCCTGAAGAGGTAAGGTTGAGAGATAGGTTAAGCACACTCAAGAAAACTCCCAAGTATTGGCCTTCAGAAGAAGAGAGAAGAAAGAAAACAGAGGGAACAGAGGGAGGTGTTCATAAGAAACATGATACCATTAGCTGCTGTAGATCTGTGGGATGTGATAGGAACCAAATTCTTGCTAGAGCTCGGCTTCATAGTAGCTTTTATCTTTTTTTTTGATAGGTTATATATCTGAATCTAAGAACTGAAGCAAACGTAACCTGAATCTTCTATCTTACAGATCCCTTATTCGGTATGGAATTCTATGGAATTATCAACAAAGGATGCCTGGATGGAGTATTTGAGAGAGCATATGTTTGCATAAGTCAAATCATAATTATAGTCTTTATCTATTATATATCACATCTTAGATTTAAATTATAATAGAAAATATGAGTTTGATTAAAAATGGTATTGTGAAATATTTAAGACTGATTAAAAAAAGATTTGTAGTTTTGTTTGTTTTGTTTGTACTTCTTCAGAGTTTTTTTTAAATTGTATACTTTTTCCCATGAAGCACTCTTCCTTCTTTTAGTATGAAAGTCATATTTTTTTTTTACTTAACAACAGATTGTTAATTATATTTGAATATATATTTTTAAGAGCATTGTAATCAGGCAGTTTATTGACACCTGAGGCCTTGCTGAATCCTGATAAAGAGATTTATAACCCACTAGTTTTCTATTTGCTTCAAGTCAGGGATCTGGATCATACAGGCTTTATCTTGGAGCAATTTAAAGTGAACAACAGAGAAGATATATTCTCCTCAATCTTGCCCAAATATATGTAATACTAACTCTGTGATGTTCAAGTAGCCAAATATTATTGAATCATACCAATTTAAGACATTTTATTGACACTATTGTCATAACTGCGTATATTTCACACCTTTCTTTGTGACCATTCCAGTCAGAAGTTGCATTTTGATTTTTAAAGCAAAGATGTGCTAAAATGTAGCCTTTAAAATGGTCAATGACTGCATGAAGCTCCGAACGAGACGAAGTGAAGAGTATCAGTCCAGTGTGTCACCACGCCGTGTTGATGCAGCCAGTACAAAAAGTCTTTTAAAATTACCTGTGTGTTTTTATCAGATAGTAATAGCGAATGCTGGTTGAATTAATCACGTTTGTTCCTAAACTGCCATTACATTGTTTTTCTTACATGTGACCGTTGTCAAGTGCTAAATGCTGATCTAAGGTATCAAATCAGGTCAGTATTTTTGTGTCCTGTAAAGAAAAAGCATCGGTATTCTACTTCAGTGGGGAAATTACTGAATTAATTAGTCTAAAATCGGAAGTAAATTTGATCGTATTTCAGAAGGGAGGCAGCCACAGCCTAATTCTAAAAGTAGTCTCAAGGTTTCTGGTAAAATGGCTCATGCAGAGAAGTCCAGTCTCTTTTTGAAAGCAAAATAAGACTGAGTAATTGAACAAGTGACTATTGTAAAGATGTCTAACTTTTGAGGGGGTGTGTGTGTGGTTGTGGTGAGAAATGTACATGCTCTCTACCTGGAGCCTAAGCAACCTGGACACAGTTTCTTCTGGAGCTCTCACAACTTATGTGAAGAGATCAAAGAATGATTTTCTTTACTGCTTGCCACCTTACATTTCCAAACAGTGGACCTTCCATGCACATAAAAACCCAACAAGGAACATATCATTCAGTAGGTTAATGACTAAATTAATTTCCTTACTGGTACTCCCCCGATTCCCCACCCCCTGCAAAAAAAAAAAGAGAGAGAGTAGCTTATGGAGTTCTCTGATTTTGAATTTTTAAAGATAGAATCACTGATTTATTGGTAAACCAAAGAAAGTTGGAAATTGGAACATGCTGCACAGGCTTGTAAAGAGAAATAGGAAAAAGAAAGAACACTCAAATTTGACTATTTTACTTCAACACTTTTTCCCTTAAGTGATGAAAAGATCCTTTAATGGTCTTAAACACCATTTCTGAAATCTTGCATTATTTTCTTTATTACTAAGCACAATATTAATATCTCATTATTTTGATGTATTGAGGAAATTGGCAATAATTTTTAACTTGATACAGGAGAAACAGAAGGGTTTTTTGTTTTTGTTAAAAAAAAATAGACACATTCCATCCTCCAACTTCAACTGTAATTGAAAATGAATGTAAAAGTAGCCTAATAATACAAATGATAGCTATAAAGGCACAGACAATTTGAACTTAATATCTCTTTACAGACATTTGGATCAGACAGATTACCAACAAGATTGTATAAATTCAATTTTATCTTTCATCTCCTTTTAGAAATCTTCTTTATGATGACTGATTATTACATTAAGAATATATTTACTTTCATTATCTACAAAAGTTGCCAACATTTCAGACAATGACACAGTAACAATAGATTTCTATATAAATTTCTGTACAGTCTTTTTAAAACACAACAAATTAAAAATCCATAATTAAAAACTCCCACCTATTACATTTTGTCACTTTTCTTGTCTATAATTTAGACAGTTTGAAAAGATTGAAGCGTGTTGCCAGGCAGCTAGCTCCTGAGGCATAACGAATCTCCTTTAACATGCCAGCCCATTCTTTTTTATCATCTTCGTACCTGTTTAAGGGGTGGGATTGAAATTGGTTAATATGCATTCGAAACTGCTCTGTCTTAAAGGCTTATTATTTTACTAACAAGAGTTAGTATGTGGATATCCTTGAGGGCAACTGGACCAAAGATTCTACCCCAAATGACCTTAAAGGAGGTCACATGCCCACCTGGTTGATTTATTGTTCCCAAAACTAAGCCTGTTTTGAATTAGTAGTTTAAGCTTGAGCGTTATCTATTGCTACTGTGGCCATGTTGTTTTTTCTTTTCTCTTTTAAATTATGAACTCAACATATCAACATGAACATTTGTATATACAGAGAACAGAAAAAAGACCGACTTGTGTATGAAACACATGACTCTTACTGCTGTATCTAATTTTGATCAATCAATCAACAAGCATTTAGGAAACATCTATGCATTAGGCACTTGGATACAAATGCAACCAATGAAATCGTCCCTACTGTTAAGCACTGATAAATGGTGAGCCCAGTCACTGTCTAACTGTTTATCCAATCATTGAATCAATAGCTGTTATGTCTGAGTCAAGATTTTTGTCTGGACCCCGGGCTTCATCTTTGTAATGGACTACTGGCACTGAAACTTATTCCTTAGATGCATATTTATTGGCACTGTACTAACTTGTAATCTTAGGAAATTGCCTGAGGCACCAAGAGGTTAAGTGACGCCTACATAGATTGTATGTCGGGGGCTGGACTTGATCCCAGGTCTTTTTTACTTCAAGACTAGCCCTCTATTTTCTCATCAAGATAATGGGTCTTAATAATCTCAATAATTATTTCAGCTCCACTTTTATCCTGCTTATGTGATCAGAGTTGAAAAATTAATTGCCCCTTTTTAACTAGACAGTTTTTGACTATTATCTGAAGATTTTTTTCTGAGTTTCTGAACTTGATGGCAATTGAGAGCTGGTCTCTTTCTAAAAGTGCTTCTTAAGCTAAAGATGTAAAATGATAATGATACAAAGTTAGCCAGGACCTAGGCAAGATACGCATCATCAAGTTTAATTTCTTTAATGTTTCAAAAACTAATTCTCAGATGGCAATAAGACCATAAGGAAAATCTTTATGCCATATGATAAACAATTGTGTTCCCCTTATGCAAGCAAAACTTTGTGCCCAGTGTTCTCTATAGATGGCTCTAAACTATTAACTAATAAACAGTTTATTATTAACATACTGAAAAATAGTACAGAACCTGGGGCAGCAAATTAACTTAAGGAATAGTTTTAATAGTTTAAGGGAAATGTGACTACATTTAAGCAACAGGAGGTTTAAGGTTAAATGAAGCTTGAATAATTGGAGTTTCCAATTAGGTTGGTTTCTATCTGTAGCTCATAAAACATGGTAAATCTTTATTTTTCTGAACAAAAGAAAACAAAGGGGATGGAAATTTTTCATTCAAGTTATGAGAAGAAATTACAGCATTTTCAGTAGCAAGGTTTAGAATGTGATGCTCAGAAGTGGGCATTTTCATCCAGTTTAACTACTACAGGCTTAGGAATATAGGAACAAATAAGCTTGAGGGGATTACCAAGGTTGTCAGCATCACTGGCCTAAGATTAAAATTCTGCTGTCCCAAACACATTTCAGAAAGGTCTCTCTTGCCCTTTTATTCATTTTATAAAAAGATATTATCTGTAAAGCCAGTGATCTTCTTTTATTCCCTGTCCTATGATTGGACAGTATTTATCCTCTTGCTATTCTTTTTGCTCAGTCTCCTCACTTTCTCTGTGGTATTCAAGGCTCTTTGGTCTTTTATTCCCCAGATCCCAGTGAGGATCATGGAATGTTACATGAGATTTAAGATAGGTTCATCTTTACTCCACTTTGCACTTTCTTATGACATCATTAGTGGGAACATAGCCTCAGTTACCTGATCACTCTTCCAAAGCCTTCACCACCCCCATCCTCTCTTTCATTATCTTTTTCCTGTTTCCTGTCTTTCTGTATCTCATATCCCCTACTAATTGTAGTCTGTTTCCTCTTCTGAATATCTGAAGGTGCTCCTCTTCTTCCCTGAAAGCTTCATATGTTAATCCTTCCTGTCTTCTTGATCTTTTTAGAAACTCCCTTGTAGGATGATCAGCCATGTCCTGTTCCTTTGCATGATGGCAATAGGACCATAAGGAAAACCCAGAAGTCTCTCTATATGCACACTTGGATTTAATTATGAAGATTATTCTCAAATTTACCTATGCAGCCCTTAACTTTCTCCTTTTGTATTTGTAGCATCCCCAGCATTTAGTTTAAAATACAGTGGCACAGAAGATAGAGTGCTAGACTTAAAGTGAGGAAGACCTGAGTTTGAATTCTGCCTCAGTCATTCTCTAGGGGTGTGACCCTGGATAAGTCACTTAACCTTTGTCTGCCTCAGTTTCCTCATCTGTAAAATGGGGATGATAATAGCACCTACCTTATGGGCTTGCTGTGAGGATCAAATCAGGTAATGTAAGTAAAGTGCTTTGCAAATCTTAAAGTGCTATATAAATACTAGCTATTTTTATTATTGTTTCCCCCCCCTAAATCTACCTCTTCCTCTAAGTTCCCTGTTTCTGTCAAGGTCACTACCATTCTTCCAATCACCCAAATTTGCAATCTAGGAATCATCTTCAGTTGTTCACTCTCGTTTCCCACCCCCTTATCCCCCCCAGATCCCAAAGAGTTGCCAAGTTTTATCAATTCCACTTTCTTAATATATCTTATTGTTTCCCTTCTGTCTCCTAATGCCACAACCACTCTAGTTGAGGCCCTTATCACCTCTTGCTTGAAGTAGTGCAAAGGCTTCCTAATTAATCTCTCTGCCTTCAAGTCCATCCTCCACCCAGCTGCTAAATGGAGATCTCTAAAGCCTGGGTTTGACCAGGTCACTCCTCTCCTCACGAAGTTTTAGGGACTTTATACTGCCTTTAGGATAAAATGCAGACTGTTTTGTTTGGCTAATAATAGCCAGCATTTACACAGCACTGACTTGGTACCAGGCACTGTGCTAAGCACTTTACAAATATCTAATTTGATCCTGGTAACAACTATGCTATTACTATCCCCATTTTACAGATGAGGAAATGGGCATTTAAAAAACCCTTCATAATCTGATCCTAGCCTACGTTTCCATGCTGATTACACAATGCTCCTCCACACACATTCAATGCTCCAGCACAACTGGCCTCATTATATAACATTCCATCTTCTTTCTCTGAAGCTGTTCCTCAGTCCTGGAATGCTATCCCTCATTACCCCTGCCCTTAGGAAACTCTAGTTCCCTTTAAGGCTCTGCTCAAGCTATGTCCCCCAAAAGGCTTTTCCTGATTGTTAGTGACTATCCCACCCTCTACTTCCCCCTTCCCCCCCCACCCGTGCCCCATGTATATTTATTTTTGTATATATCCTGTTTCTAGCTATTTATGAACATGCTGTAATCTTCCCATTAGAATGGAAGCATCTTTAAGGCAAGGACTTTTTCACTTTTGTATTTGTATTCTCAGTGCCTGGAACATAGTATGCATTTCGAAAATGCTTTTTGATTGATTGCACAGGTTGTCTTCTCCAAGAATATAAGAAACTCAGGCCCAGTCTTAGTGATTTGGCAATTAGCTTTTCAGTTTACCAATTTAAAGTTTGTGCTAGTTTAAGTACATATATGTTCCTTTGCCTTTCCCTTGCTATTTATTACATTCCCACGATGTATTCTTATCCAGGTCCTCATTTGTCTACCTCAATTTGAAAGGCAGCTCAGGCTCAGTACAGAATTTCAGAGTACTAGGACTTGAGAACCTGTATTTTCAACTGTAAATTCTGATAATGATGTCTCTGTTACTCTCAATAGCACCAAAACTTCCTCTAGACTACTTTTCTGTTTCTGGGTCTGTTAAGTCACTCACAGAGGAACCTCTATAAGAAACTCTGATATGAAACTTTGAAATCAAAGTGACTTTAACAATTATTTATTTCTGGGGCAGCTAGGTGGCGAAGTGGATAGAGCACCAGCCCTGAAGTCAGGAGGACCTGAGTTCAAATCCAACCTCAGATACTTGACAACTAGCTGTGTGACCCTAGGCAAGTCACTTAACCCCAACTGCCTCACCAAAAAAACAAAAAAAAGAAACCAATTATTTATTTCATAGACACAGGCATGAAATGTGGCAAATTTAGTTGAATAACATGAGGAAGCCAAAGTCATGAAGAACCTAACATCCTAAAAGCAAAACACCTTGTTACAGTATTTGTAGGCATTTTATCTTTTTTTTTCCTTTTTTCAAATGCTTTTTCTTCCAGTTGACTAAATTAACCACCTTCAGCTAATTAAAGTTTTCTTTAAATCAGATTCAGCATTTAATTCATGACTGCATGGAATACTCCCAAGGCCAAATAAAGAATGTTCGTCAGCAATGTAATGTAAAGAGAATCTGGAGGCGTAGACCTGGTTTGGATTTCTGGTTGTGTGACTTGGCCTTTCTAAGCCTTAATTTTATCATCTATAAAATGCAGCATTAATGTCCTCACAGGGTTGTTTTGAAAATCCAATAAAATGAAATATGTAGCAAAGCATTTTGTAAAGAATAACGTGCTATAGAAATGTCAGCTGTTAGCTAAACTACTTTAGAAACAGCATTAACTCTCACTTTCATAGGGTACTATTTTAAGACATCAACATTACAATTTCTAGTCAGAGTAGTGGCTCAAAGGTTTAATTTGGGTTCTGAGAGTATGTAGCTTACTACCAAGAAGTAGTTTTCTTTCTGAGAGAATCTGTCCATTCTTTCATACAAAAATTGTTTTTTTTTCCATTTAGATTTAACAGAAAAATTGGAATAAACAGAACTTACTTCCATATATCATTGACTTCCGTGGGGGCAAATTCCTGGGACTCAAGTTGAATCATAGCAAACCCACCAATAGCATAAAGAGATCCAGACATACTGACTAAACTGATAGAACTTCTCTCTTGGGGAAATTCAGGCATCACTTCCCACCTAAGCATTATTAAAAACAAATAAGTGTTAGCCAGAAGCTAAAGCACACAACAACTCATAAGCACTGGTAAGAGCTAACATACTCACTTATTGGTGGTAAGATCAAAAGCTTCAACTGAAGCTGAGAGGCCATCTTCTGTGACACCTCCTGCAATCACAATTTTGCCTTTATGGATTGCCACTCCAAACATGGAACGAGGGGTTTTCATTGGGGCCAAATCTTTCCAGTCTCCTTTTTTGGAGTTGTAAATAAATACCCTATTTGTACATTTTCTGTGAACATGAACACAAATGAGGTTATTCAGTATCTTGGATTTTTAAAAAAGACAGCTGAGTAGCTGACCCCTTTGGCAGTTTTCATTATGAAATATGGTATTTGGTAACAGGAGACAGACAAATGTTTATAATGCTGCTATCCAAAGTGTTCTTAATTTGTACGCAGATCACGTGGTCATCAGTTAAGAATAATTCCTGACACCACTCTGTTCCTCGCCTATGCCACGCCTGTAAAATGATGATTGTGGAATGACATTCTCAGTTAAAATCTCTAGATGATATGCAAATGGAAATAGTCACAGACCAGTTCTACCCACAGGGGAGAATGGGGTTTTCCCAGGAAAACTGAAAAGAAGAATCTCTTAAGTTGAGCATTAACATAAACATTTTGTGAGATTATTTGCAAAGGAGCAGATTATACACATATCTTCTTTAAGTATATCCTGTATGTTGCACCCATGTATTTTAAAGAAATTATAGACTAAAAGAAACTATTATATATAACATATATGTATGTAATACATATAGTTTAAAAGAAACTATAGACTATAAAGCAGACTGTTGCCCAGTATGGTCATTGTGGTTAATGAGTAATGTAGGAAAGGGCCATGATTGTTCTCCTTCTAATTTTTAAATGCTGACCAAAAAAATGATCTTATTCTCCTATATACTTTTGTGTTCTATAATTTTAGAAATCAACTTTTACAGGCACCAGCCAAAGAACTTCAACAGAACTCTGATTATACTTCAACAGAACCATGATTTCATTAACAAGGGCACTTTTCTTTATCAGTGTAGTTTGTATCCTACCCATGTCTTCTTGGGCTATATTCTTGTCTGTGTGTTCCTTAAGTTTTCCATAGAGGATGTACCTAATGTGCTAGTGGTCTCACTTAGATTCTTTTAGTACATCATAGCTATAGAGTGCAACACTCAGGCTGCTCATCTGTTATCTCTCCTTAATCTTGCTGCATGACCAGCCTCTCTTCTTTTCCAGTTATACTTACAATCTTGCTCATAAGGTATGATTGGCCACATGCTATAGCTTGCTTATTCCTAACCTTGTTTTTTATTGCCATTTGGTTCATGTGAAATCATGATGCTTTTGAAATCTGCAGTGTTGTAGCATCATGGGGAGAATGCTAATATTAGAAAGATGGGGTTTTGTGCCAGAGAGCAACTAGGGACCATTAAAGCACAATGAAGTTTCTCAGTTGTGTTCCAGCTTGATTTCTTCCTTTGATTCAATTCTAGGCCTAGATTATTATCTACGCCAGGTATCTATCTAAGCACCTGTCCAAAGTATTTATACAGATAGACTAAGTCAGTGTTGCTTGTCCAACTTCATGGCACAATCTAGTCAATATTAGTTCTTTCTCACTTTCGCTTTTGCCATGTGGGTTCCTAGGATCCAGCTTCTCTCACTTAAAAATTTTTGATGTGGGGGCAGAGCCAAGATGGCAGCGTGAAAGCAGTGACTTGCTTGAGCTCTCCTTCAACCCTTCTAAACACCTGTAAAAAAATGGCTCTAAACAAAAAGATAGAGTAAAACAAATTTCCAGCCCAAGACAGCCTGGATGGTTGATCAGAAAGGCATATCGCGCCGGGCGAGTAGAGGAGCACAGTTCGGTGTGGGCACGCAGGCCGCAGCAAACCTGGAGCAGGCCTCAGAGGACTGAATCACAGGCAGCTGTGGTGGTTTCCAGACTCCTCAATCCAGGAACTCCAAAGACAACTTAGAACATCAGTGGGAAAAGTCTGTGAGAGAGGAGCTAGGTCAGAACCAGATCCAGAGCACGGAATGCAGGAACTGGGGCGGTGGCTGCGTCCTGAGCTTCCAGCCCACAGACTGAGGTGGAATCAAGTGGCTGATCAGAGGGGCATTGCAGGGATCTCTTTGCCAGTACTGAGGCAGGAATCTCTTGCTTTGCCGTGCTTGGATCTGGGTCACAGTTCTAGGTGGTGGTCCTGGGGTGAGGAGGAGTGCTGGCATGGTGGAGCTTGTAGTGGGGGTAGAGAGGAAACCCTCTTCACAGTTCCAAGAGAGAAAAGACTGCTTGTGGCCAGTCGCTCAAAGACCAGAGCACAGGCCAGGAAAAACACCTTGACCCTTATCATACCATCTTGGAAGAACTAAAAATTTACAGGTCCCTAGAAGTATCTCCGAAAACAGCTGTACAAACCCCTGAAGCTTGGGACAGTACATTCTCCACATTGGAAGCAGCCTCTTACTTTAACAAAGAGTTTAAAACTCAAGTAGTTGGCTGGGATCATAAGCAAACCCGCAAAAAGAGTCAGACTGTATTATCTTACTTTGGTGACAAAGAAGATCAAAACATACAACCAGAAGAAGACAAAATCAAAGCTCCCACATCCAAAGCCTCCAAGAAAAATATGAATCTGTTCCAGGCCTTGGAAGAGCTCAAAAGGGATTTTGAGAAGCAAGTAAGAGAAGTAGGAAAAACTGGGAAGAGAAATGAAAGTGATGCAAAAAATCATGAAAAACAAGTCAACAGCTTGCTAAAGGAGACCCAAAAAATACTGAAGAAAATAACACCTTAAAAAATAGCCTAACCCAAATGGCAAAAGAGGTCCAAAAAGTCAGTGAGGAGAAGAATGCCCTAAAAAGCAAAATTGGCCAAATGGAAAAGGAAGTCCAAAAGCTTACTGAAGAAAATACTTCCTTAAAAATTAGAATAGAGCAATTGGAAGCTAGTGACTTTATGAGAAATCAGACACAGTAGAACAAATCCAAAAGAATGAAAAATTAGAAAACAATGTGAAATATCTCATTGGAAAAACAACTGGCCTGGAAAATAGATCCAGGAGAGAGAATTTAAAAATTATTGGACTACCTGAAAGCCATGATCAAAAAAAGAGCCTAGACATCATCTTTCAAGAAATTATCAAGGAAAACTGCCCTGATATTTAGAACCAGAGGGCAAAATAGAAATTGAAAGAATCCACGATCTCCCCTGAAAGAGATCCCCAAAGGAAAACTCCTAGGAATATTGTAGCCAAATTCCAGAGTTCAGGTCAAGGAGAAAATATTGCAAGCAGCCAGAAAGAAACAATTCAAGTTGGTGGAAACACAATCAGGATAACACAAGATTTAGCAGCTTCTACATTAAGGAGCAGGGCATGGAATATAATATTCTGGAGGGCAAAGGAGATAGGATTACAACCAAGAATCACCTACCCAGCAAAACTGAGTATAATCCTTCAGGGGAAAAAATGGTCATTCAGTGTAATAGAGGACTTTCAAGCATTCTTGATGAAAAGACCAGAGCTGAATAAAAAATTTGACTTTCAAATACAAGACTCAAGTGGAACATGAAGAGGTAAACAGGAAAGAGAAATCATAAGAGACTTATTAAGGCTGAACTGTTTACATTCCTGCATGGAAAGATGATATTTATAACTCATGAGACCTTTGTCAGTATTAGGGTAGTGGGAGGGGAAAAAATTACATGTATGTATAGTAGATAGATAGATAGATAGATAGATAGATAGATAGATAGATAGATAGAGGGCACAGGGTGAGTTGAAGATGAAGGGGTGATATCTGGAAATGAAAATTAAGGGGTGAGAGAGGATTATACTAGGAGAAGGAGAAAGGGAGAGGTAGAATGGGGTACATTATCTCGCACAAAACAGACAAGAAAAGGTTCTTACAGTGGAGGGGAAACAGGGGAAGGTGAGAGGAAATGAGGGAATCTTATTCTCATAGGATTTGGCTTAAGGAGGGAATAACATACACACTCAATTGGGTATGGAAATCTGTCTTACCCTACAGGAAAATAGGGGAGGAAGGGGACAAGAGAGCAGGGGATGATAGAGAGAAGGGCAGATTGGGAAAGGGGTAATCAGAAGGAAGTACTTCTGAGAGGGACAGGGTCAAAAGAAAGATAGAATAAATGGGGGGCAGGATAGGATTAAGGGAAATAGAGTTAGTTTTTACAACAAGTCTACTAGGAAGTGTTTTGCCTAACTGCACATGTATGGTCTGTATTGACTTGCTTGCCTTTTCAATGAGGGTGTATGGGGTGGGAGGAAGGGAGAAAATTTGGAACCCAAAGTTTTAAAAACACATGTTTAAAAAAAATGTTTCCACATGCAACTGGGAAATAAGAAATATAGGAAATGAGGTACAGAAATCTATTCTGCCCTACAGGAAAATAGAAGGGGAAGGGGATAAGAGAAGGGGGGGAAGAGATAGAAGGGAGGGCAGACTAGGGGAAGGGGTATTCAGAATACATGCCATCTTGGGGTGAGGGGAGGGGCAAGATGGGGTGAAAATTTGGAATCTTGTGGAAGTAAATGTTGAAAACTAAAAATAAATAAATTTATATAAAAAAATAAAAATTTTTGATGCATTGTATAGCAACGCAAATAATGCTTCTCAACAAACAGCCATACCAATCCCTTTACAAAGTACATTCACTGAAAGTCAAGAAAACTACCCAATAAGGTGATTATAACTCATAGTATTTGTCATCTTCCACTTTTGTGGTTGAATTGTTGTTAACAAAAATGTAGTCGGTATGCTCTTGTTTTATCTTGCCTCATATTTACATTGTTACAGTCTTTGCACATAATGATCTTTTCTCTCTGCTTTCTTTAGTTGGCATACAAGTCTTCCTTTGTTTCTCGGATTGAAAATAATTTGATTACACAAATAAGGATTGTGAGTAACATTTTTTTCTAGTATGGTACAACTTGCCAGAATGGGGACTTCAGTGTCATAGCCTTTGAGCCCATAGGGTCACTTTCATGCCACCATGACACATTAGAACTTTGTGGAGGTAGAAGAACAAACTGATAGAAAAATGCATATTGCCTAGCCAAGTATCCAAACAGGCAGCTGGTTGAATCAGTCTCTCCAATTAGTCTGTGTATATAAATATTGGCAGGCATTGTAGCTGGACAATGAATTGGACCCAGAATTTAATAAGATGGAGAAAGAAGGCTAGAATCTACTTTTGAAATTGTACAGCACTTTAAGTTATTCCAAGTTGCTCCCTGTAGGAGAAGCTCTTCTCTTTTAAAAACTAATATTCTCCTACTGACACTATGTGTTATAACTACTTTGAGGAAACAAAATTACAAGTAACACACGTATTTACATAGCAATAGATATGTAGTGGGTATAGGTAGGCTGCACTATCACACTAGTACAAGAAATGATTTTGGAGATGGAAGATAGATAGAAATCATCTGGTCTAAATCTCTCATTTTACAGATGAGAAAACTGAGGCCCAGAGATGTGAAATGACTTTTTCAAAGAAAGAATCAGGATCTGAACCTAATTCTGACTCAAAAATCCAATGCCCTTTTCAGCATATTCACTTGCCTCCAAAAATACATAAGCCCCCCAAAAGAGGTAGGTTAATCATGTATCAGGAATGAGAGACAATCAGCACAGATGCTGAACTGGAGTCCCTGTTGGATTCTTGGATAGGAATAGACAAGATTCAATCTGCTTCAGTTATTAGAGAGAGGACCCATACTAATCAAATAATAGATTCAATGCACAGAATTATAAAATGTGTTTTGTAACAAAGAGAATCTCAAAATTTTTTCCACAAACAAAACTTTTCTTTTTTAATTCTTAATAGTGGTCTTTGGACCATAAGAATCCAAATAAGCATTGCAGCTAAGGTCTACCTAGAATATAACTTTGAACCTAAAAGTTCTAGAAGTGGTAGCAAACAAACAAATTAGTTTTCTTCAAATTTTATGAGAATAACTAGTGTAATCTGGTATCATCTTTTAGACACTATCTCATTTCAAAAGACTTCTCTTTGGCATTTGTCAAGCAAGGCTATTCTCTCCTCATATTCTTAAGTATATCATGTCATAGTAATATAATCATTTCCTGACCACTAATGAACAGCAGCCAAAGGAAAACATTTAAATTATTTGGCAAGGTTACAATGTTTTGCAAGTCACAGCACTACATGCCTGCCACTTTTTCATTCAATCTGTTTCCAGAAAAATAAAAGGAATATCCCTAGGTGAGGTGATGATCTACCTTCCATTGAAGTCATTTAGACCTCTTGGCTGGTACCAAATAAAACATCACTATTCCAATAAATTGTATTTGCATGTGGATGGATATTTTACCAGGATACAAAATGTTACTTTCATGCTTTTTAACTGAATGCTCTGTGCTACATTTGTCATCTTTGATGAATGATAGAAAATTTTTTAGAAGTTGTGTTGTCAGCACCAAAATACAGGCATTGTTCCCTTACTCCTGAGAGCAGTGTGGTCTGTGGTAAAGCACTGTGGCTTTGGAGTCAGAGGCCTGGGGTTCAGCTGCTGGCTCTACTAACTTACTACCTTGCTGAACTTGAGAAAACTACATCACCTTTCTGGGCTTTGGTTTTCTTGTCTGTAAAATGAAAATGTTAGACAAGACAATCACTAACATCCCTTCTGGATCTCATCCTATGACTCCACCTTTCTAATATTACAAAATTGTGGTCAAATGCCTGCACATTACGTGGTGCTAATCTGAATAAGTTGTTCTTTCCTTTTATCCCCTTTTCATGATTCTGTGTCATTTAAGTAGCTTCAGGACTCACAAGTCAAGTCAGGATTAGAGGCAAAGTTAAATATAATATAAAGTCCTATTTAACTTTCTTGGGTCAAGCAAACCACTAACTAGATTTCTGATACATGGGAGTCAGTGGCATCATGGGTTAATACAAAAATCAACATAAAAAAAGTACTCATGGCTAAAGTGAGAAAATATCTTGACATTATTATACTAAATTCTCATGACTGTGCTTATTCTGATTAAAACTCACTGGACAACATTCTCACCAACACATAATACAAATCAGCTGTATTACTTAGTACAATAACACTTGAAATACTAAATTAAATAGCCAAATAATTTGTCTATAATTAAGCAGAATAATTAAATTCTATATTTCTTTTCTTTCTTTCTTTCTTTCTTTCTTTCTTTCTTTCTTTCTTTCTTTCTTTCTTTCTTTCTTTCTTTCTTTCTTTCTTTCTTTCTTTCTTTCTTTCTTTCTTTCTGTATAATCAGACAGAAAGAACCTCAATATATCATGGATTGGAGACAGAGCATTCTAACTCATCTCCCATGTAGAGTTCTCTTATTATAACATGAAAGATTCAAATGGGATTTTTATACCCTTTTTTCTAGCATTCTGTTATGCTCTACTCAATTACTTTAGAGGATTTAAAATTTTAATATAGTACTTCTGCCAGAATATGCACAGCATCCTATATAACTTTTTTTTTCAGATTCCTTTATATCTCTATTGATAATAAATTCAGAAAATTTTTATTTTGCTTTCAACACACAAGTTTGAAATTTTACCTTTCACACAGCCAAATTAGAACTTCCCCCCATTTTAGAAATATGAATTCAAAGCAAGAGAGGAGGGCTATTTTATAATAATTCTCCTGGTATAAATCATAAAGAAATTTTAGAGTACTTACTTGTCATCTGTCTTTCCTCCCAGACAATATATCATTCCATTATGTGAAACCACATTATGGCCGTAGACTTTGATAGGAAGCTTTTTTACTTCATTCCATTTTATAGCCCTATATAATTAGAAGGTGAGAGGATGTATGTACTTTCATTAAATACAGGCTTTTAAAAACATGAATGCATAATAGATACTTAATGAATACTTGAATACTTTGTGAAAATAAATGGAATACCAACGTACACAGGATCAAAGCACAAAACTGAATCCAGTGAAGCCTCTGTTTGAAGATCTTTGCCAGCAACTACATAGATTTTGTCATCTGCTTCTCCCAGACCAAAGAGACATCTGGCTGATGGAAGAGGAGGAAGTCCAACCCATTCAGCTGCTACATTATCAAACTGGAAAAACAACGCAATAAGGTTATAGAGGTGGGTAGTGAAAATGCTCAAGGCTGTACTATACACATTTGACAGTACATTAAGGCATTCACAATAGAAAAAAAATCATACCAAAATAAAAAGGGATAGCATTACAACTATGAAGTATTTTTTTTAAAAAATGTTAAAGGCACAATCAACTATAGTAACTAATGTTAACAGGATAATCTTCAGGCCCTAAAGGAAACAAAATCTAGCAGTATAAGAATCCTATTTAAGGCTATCCTTTTCCTTTCCTGATTTTAAAAAATTAAGCTTTACTATCCTGGCAGCACTAAAAACAAACAAAAAACCCCCAACACTTAACTTCTTTTAAAAATTGTACTAAACCTCTAATTTGTTTAGTGTAGAGAACTCCTATTAAAAGAAACTTCTTTACGAATGCAGGTCTGAAATTACTCTGCAATTTAAAATATTACAGCATTGTCTAGAGGAACTGATTGGTTCATTGACTTGCCCAGAGTTATAAAACTAGTAGTGTCAGAGGCAGGATTAAACCAGAATTACTAAATCTTACAGACTAGTTCTCAATCCATTCCACTATGCTGCTCCTCATGGCGCAGCAGATACAGCTTTGAGACTGGAGTCAGGAAAACCTGAGTTTAAATCTGGCATCAGACACTGGCTGTGTGATCCTTGGTAAGTCACTTAACCTCTGTTTGCCTCAGTTTCCTTAACTGCGTGGTTGTGAGGATCAAATGAGATAATAATTGTAAAGTGCTTAGCATAGTACCTGGCACACAGTAGGAACTATTATAAATGCTCCTTTCCTCCCTTCTCCTTCTGAGACATGAGAATAATTCAAAAATTATGGAGACATGAGGTCACATGAAATGTGTGTGGAGTCTCAAGGGGGAGGAGTACAGAACCATCTTTAAGGATATGAGTGATCCTAGGCATCTCATGGCCAAAGAGCCACAGGCAGCATTTCAGTTTAGAAAGGTTTTTATCCTCCTGGCTATAATTAGCATTTCCCCTAAGCCAGTATCCATGCCAGTTGCACCTATCGCTCAGTTCATTGGACAGCTGGAGAATTAAGCAACACTGTTTTGTTCCTTAGGTTTTCTTCTCATTTTTAACTTTGTAAATGTTCTGTTTCTAGTTTTATTGATGTTGACTCATGTCAATCTCAGTTGAATTTAAATTTCTTAAAGACTGCTGTTCGAAGTCACTCGAAATACGCTTTTCTCTCTTCTCTTTTCTGCTTTAAGCTAACAACTTTTTCTGTTATAGCTACATCTGCAATTCTAAGTTACCCTTTCTATTGCTTTACATAAAAGTGGATGATGTTGGTTTGGCCAGGGTCAGGATTAAAATGAGGCAATTTTAGGATTTTGCTTTTTGTTTCATAACACTAAGGCATGTGAAAGCTATTTTTGAGAGAATGAAGCGGTACTATAGGACTATTTTTCCTCCTGCTGTTTCCACTTAGCAAAAGTAAATTAAATTCTAATCTTTGAATGGTAAAAATCATTACATAATCACAACTAAGAGATAGGAAGATAGTACTCAAAAAGACATGTTTCTTTGTCTCTCAGAATGCATATCTATGTTCTGACAAGTTAGTTGGTTACAGCATGATGCTACTGAATGTTGGAGAATGAATTCAATGCCAATATGCACCCACGTGGCTTTCATTTCATTTAATAATTATGATATCTAGACTGTCACCAAGGCCATTGAGTTCTTAATTTTTGTATATCTGGACCAAGGAGCTAGTATGGTATAACAGAATACTGAGTATTGGAGGACATAAGTTTTAGTTCAGTTATTTAATCTCCAGTAAAATCTCAATATTTAGGTCTTCAACTTTTTTTTTGTCCTTAAAAATGAGGGGTTTGGACCAGATAATGTTTAAGGTCCTGGTCTTTTCCAACTCTAAATTCTATGAATGTTTAATTTCTATGGATATTTTTATTGTTGTTGTTTAGTCATGTCTGACTCTTCATGACCCCATTTGGGGTTTTCTTAGCAGAGATACTGAAGTAGTTTGCCATTTCCTTCTCTAGCTCATTTTACAGATGAGGAAATTGAGGCAAACAGTGACTTGCCCAGGATCACATAGCTAGTGTCTAAGGCTGGATTTGAACTCATGAAAGAGTCTTCCTTCCTCCATGTGCAGCATTCAATCCTAGGTGCTTTTTACATTTGTATGAAATTTCTCATATTCCCACTGTTTGTAATTTGTAATTAGGAACTAAGCTATTCCAAAACTATTGCTTTAAAGAAATAGTAAAATAATAGAAAGCAAAACCCCAAATCCTCAAATAGTTTAGCCAGCAATACTAGTTTTTTTTTGCAATTAAATTATTTATTTTTAGTTTTCAACATTCATTTCCATAAGATTTTGAGTTTTACAACAATACTAGTTTTAATGAAGTTTTACTATCAAATCTTTCTTTGATTATAGTATGTTCTACCATATCACATAGGAGTTTTGGCAGGGAGTTAGGAACTATAGCTGAATTGTTATTCATAATTGCTTTCAGAATGAAAAGAAGTCATTCGTTAGGCTTATAGAATAAAAAATGAGAACTGACAGCAAAAAAGGGAAGTGCAGGCGAGAAATAAAAAATGAGTATTAGAGGCAGCCTAGGGTAATGAACAAAAACTAAGGACTTTCCAGGTCTGGGGAAGACTTGACTCAAATCTTGTCTCAGATACTTACTAGGTATATGACCAAGGGTAATTACATCACTTAACCTGAGATTGTTTCCTCATCTGTAAAATTGGGATTAAAAACAGTTGTTATATATATATATATATATTCATATATATATATCTATCTATCTATATATATATTCATATATATAGATATATATATATATATATATATATATATCACTGAGCTATTGTGAGGTTCAAATGAAATAATATATGTAAAAAACTTTGCAAATGTCAAAGTACTAAGTGTCAGTTATTATTATTATTATCATTATAGTAAATGAAATTGGGAACCAATTCTAGGTGAATTTCATCTAAGACTTATATGAAATAAAACTTCAGCAAAGTCAAGTTTTTTTTTCAGAATTACTCTACAGATACAATTACTTCTTATGATGTAATAATCAATTTTGTTCTTGTTATTCAGTGAATCATTATATTCTTTTGTGTATGATTATAGCCTTTGTCATTGAATTTACTCATTCTGAAATTGATGTCATTACTGAATTTAAAATTGGGGGGGGTTGATGTTATTTTTTAAATTGTATTCAGATACTGAGGAGTATGGCCTATGTATGCCTTGGAAATAAATATTTCATTTCACAATGAACTTCTCTGGAATTATGGAAATCAAGAAAAGATATACAATATTTAGGCATTTATAAGTAGCAGTGACTATGATATTGTTAGCTATGATTAAAGCTAGTATTTTATAAACAGTGTCACATATTTTAAAAATACTCTGTGAAAGTAATTTTGAGGTGTTATTTTTACTTACAGTTTGTCATTCTAACTCAAATGCCTATCTGTTCTATGCCATAATTAAGTCATAAGCTAAATGAACTCTTAAGAGCTTATAACTACAGTAGTGGTATTGGCAGTACTAAAGTTCATAAGCCACTGATTTAATTTAAAACTATTAGTTATTTGCTTTGATCATAGGTAAACACCTCTCCTCAAATGAAATGGTTTATCAGTGATTTTTCAGTCACTAGCTCCTCAAACTATGTGTATATAAAACTGAAAAAATTCTCTAGTTCCATAAATCAGGTCAAGTTGATATAGATAAAAATGTCAAGGTGGTTATAACCTTAAGAAATATTGTGATGTTATAAGAATTAAGAATTCTAAATAGGCTTAATTCAAATTAGCATGAATGGATAATTTTTTTCTAGAAGGTAATAAAGTACATCATTAATTAAAACATGGGTTATACAAGCTAGCTCTGTTTAATTACAATAAGACTCATAACTATACAAAAAAATGAAATTTCATCTCTAAAAATAAAGATTTTTCAGACCCACCACTCAAAGTATCTCATGGAATCCTGGGGTAACAGATGACTATCTGACCAATTAGTTCTTACTCATAAGAATTATGTAGATCATTTTTCTTTAAAAGAAAATATTAACCAATTTTTCAAAAATAAAACCATACCAGACTAAACTTAATTTTGCCAATAATGACGTATTTCATTAGCATACTAGGAATGCTACATAAGAATTATAACCACCTTTCAACTTATCAGTGGAACATATGACACATCTAACTTCAATTTATTTCAATGTATGGATAATCCTGAAACATCATTTAACTATTATTTGCAACCCCATTCCTTGTGAAACCTTTTATAGAAATGCCAAAAAACAAACAAACTGACTAAAGGTTTCACCTCTCTTCCTTGCCTCTGCCCACCTGTTAGTAAACATACTAAAGAGCTATTAAGGGACTGGAGGAACAATGGTAAGCTAGTAGTCTGAATAACCCAACAAGTTGGATCATTAGCTCCTGAATAACTGAGAGCTCTACACATGCCACTATTTGCACAGCAATAAAGGGGTTTCTACCTGAAAGAAGTATGACTGTAGAGGTTGATCCTTGTTTTCTTCATCTACATACAATCCTCCTACAACATACACTTGATTTTGTTTGGTGACTATGCTGGAATGATTTCTGGGAATCTGCTCAGCCAGTGCAGCAAGATAACATTCATTTTCTGTGGGGTCATAAGCCACTGCAGCTGTGTCATTAATCAAAAGAATGAGGTCTTTGACAAACATTCCATGCCTGGGAATGTCATTCAGGTATCCAGGAAGCAAATCTTCATCACCCACATCACCATTCACCTCACTGCCACCAGTCTTCTCTGCATTTTTGTTAGGCTCAGGGAGTTTTCCTGCAAAAGCATCTTTTAGAATTTTGATTTTTTTCTGTAGGTCAGGGTTGCTTTTAATTATATCATCCTTCTCAACATGATCTTTGAAATATTTTTCTGTCATAAGACGAAAACGGATACAATCAAATACTTCTCCAAGATTTTTTACCCTGTTTTCTTTGTCTGTTCGGACCCATTTCATTACTGCTTCAAACACTGCTTCTTCCTTTTCTACATTTAAGCCATCATTTGAAATAACTGAGATCAGTTCTTGTGGGGAAAGCTGCATAAAATCCTCTTCCTTGCAAATCTGTACAAAGCGATCAGACACAAATTCACGGGCAGATAGCGCGAGTCTTGGGCAGTCAAGAAGAAGACCTAATCTCAGGATGGCTAGACAGTTACCAGGTGCAAGTCTTTTCTGAAGATAGGAAACGCAGACAGTGAACACTGAGGGGATCTGAAAGCGGCTAGCCAAGGCAAAAATATCTTGCACATTTGTATCGTTGAGATCAATACTGGCTGAATAAAGGTATTTGATGATTAAATCCAGGATAGCAGGGTCCACATTATCTAGTACTACCTCCTTTTTTTTCTGCTCATCAATTTCAGATAAGAAATACTCACGGAAATAAGGGCTACAAGCTGACAAAATCAGTCGGTGGCAAGGAAGACTTTTGTCTCCTGCTTTCAGGGTGCAATCGATGAATTTTTTCTCATCCAGGAGATCTTTTAGACCATCCTGAAGAAGGGTAGATTGGTAAAGCCGCAGTTCCTCTGCGAGTTCCCGCTGGGAATCCATTTTGTGAGTAACCTGAGTGAGGAAGGGGAAACTGAAGGCCTTAGCTCCGTGCAGCACACAGGTCTAGCTGTAAAAAAGGCAGATCAATGTGCTTTGCTTAGCTTGAGGCCGTTGCAATTTAATCCTGCTAATAGCTAAATATAGATACACACTCTCACAACTGGAATTTAGGATGGCTAGTTTAGAAAGGAGGGCTGTTCTTGCAGCTGTTATAGACTGAAAGAGGCAACTGGAACTTTTTGTCACTAAGGAAACAGTATGAAACAAGACCTTTAAATTAAGTGGAAGGACAAAGTATATAAAGTATTAGTAAATAGGTGAATGAGGATAAATGAAAAAAAAAACTCTCTACATACAATGAGAGAATTATAAAAATGAGTCATTCTTCAAAAATGTGTTTACCAGGAAAACTGGCCCTTTGAATTAGTGATGCTTCAGTCACAGGAGGATGAGATATGTCTGTATCAGTCAGCTACTTTAAATTTTGATCTCATATAGTCTTAGAAATAAAGTAACATGAAGAAATATTTCATAACAATTTTCCCACAAGTTTTTAGGTAAAACAGGAAAGAATTTTTTCTTCAAAAGAAAGGAAATTATGATTCTTTAAGTATGATTTTAAAATCAATGCTTAAAATAATTTTAAAGACCCAACTGTATTATAATCCAAATAACGGAGAGAAATCACTGATCTCTTTTCTCCTATGACATTCTGAATTACCTTTAATCTTACATGGAAAATTTGTAAGAAGTAAGGATAATCAAATAGTTTACAAATATTGAAAATGTTTTTATAAAATACTAAAAAGATAAAAGCATTTCATTCATGGACATTACAAAAACTTTATATTCATTTGAAGATTGTACGGAATTACAGTCATGATCACATATACAATTTGAAAAATCATTTTTCTGAAGCAAATACAACAATTTTGGGAAAATGCATGAAACTATAAATGATTCAACTTTTTTTTACTGCTACAAGGTTAAAACATTTTAAATAGCAGAGCTCAATTTATATACTAATTATGAAAATGTTTTGACTTTCTATATATGCTGCATGATTGGATTTTCTAGGCTTTCTGAAATTGGCCGTGCTTTACAAATACTGTAATTTCAAATTCTGTTTGAATTCCTCCAAACACACCACAAACCATTGAATCAAAAGTTTCTAAACTTTAAGTCCTCCACAAATGGATAACAGTTTTCTTCAATTTTACATCATAATGAAGTCCATAGTGCTGTCAGCTGCTAAAACAACAGCTGAAAGGAGAGCTCATTGACTCTTTTCCATTTATAGACACTACTGAAGGTTTTATCTCACTAGAAAACATATAACAGCTGCTTACTCCCTCCCTTTAAACAATAAATGAGTCATTTCTTGAGTCATGATAACACCTAACATTTGAAAGGTCTTAATGAGTCAGATGAAAATCTTATGATGTGATCCATTTGAGATTAGACCTTAAAACTCAGCAATTTTAATAGTAGCTTCTTTGTGCATGACATATAACAAATACAATTCAATGACTAAGTTGACTTTACTTTTTACACTGTAGCAGTGAAAAGGTATTACAAAATTTAGTAAAAATAAAACAAAACACAGTTACAGGCAATTTTCACAACAGTACCTCTCTTGAAATTGATATTATTTCCAATAAATATATAATTCTGAATCTAAGTTGCTTTCTTAACCCTCTGTTAAGCTTGAAGTATAGCTAGCACAAGCTTCTATCATTAAATGTGCAACTAATTGGGAATTAAAAGTTACCCTATAAACTATAATAAACATAAACAAGAATGTCAGAAAATCATTGTAGCAATAAAATGACAAAAATATTTTATTTCAAAAAAGCACTAAACAAAATGTCTATTAATCAAACAATTTCTTAAATAGTACCCAAAATTTCGAGTAGAGACTGATTTACTTCAAATTCCAGAATTTTTAAATTTACTTTTACAAAAAAAAAAAAAGACCCCCAAATTAGGGAGTAAAAATGGTACTAATTAAGATTCAAGAAGTTTACACATGAAACACTGCAGCAACACAATTAAACCTGGTTGAAAAGGGCCATAGAGGGGCAGCTAGGTGGTGCAGTGGATAGAGCACAGGCCCTGAAGTCAGGAAGACCTGAGTTCAAATCCGGCCTCAGACCAAACACTTGACACTTACTAGCTGTGTGACCCTGGGCAAGTCACTTAACCCCAATTGCCTAAAAATATAAAAATTAAAAAAAAATAAAAATAAAAATAGAAAAGGGCCATAGACATCATTGTCACCCCTTCTGTTGGCAGATGAGCAAACAGAGGCCCCTAGAGGTAAAGGTACTTGCTCACACAGGTACTAAGGAGCAGAGCTGAGATTCAAAAGCAGATTCTCTTACCCCAAGTAAGTGCTCTTTCCACTACAGCACACAGTTTATCTTACCCTACCTAAGTTCAGAAAAGTTCATCTCAGATTCGGAGTTCCTGTCCTATTTTCCGAAATAATATTTGCAAAACATTAAAAAATGCTATACAAATACTCTTTATTAAACACAATCATATACAGTCATTTTATGTCAGCAAACTCATTAATGTACAAGATTAAAATGATATGTATAGCAAATAAATTCAACAGACTAAATCCAGTTCTGTTACAATTTTAGGATAGATAAGGCAACTGGCAATAACATTTTAGATAAATGCATTTTTTCTTAAATTCTTTAAGGTTATTACTTCATATATGACTATTCAATGTGTTATACCAGACCACTAGTATCTTCAATCTTAAAGTATCTTTAAACAGAAATCCAGCTCAAATCAAGGTCAACTCATTACTTCCCAAAGTCCCTGCAGGGTGAATCCATCCTTCAATTTTTCTATTGCAAGCCCCAGTTCTTCTGAAAATACAGGGTCACGATCTTGTTGCTTTTTGATAGTTAAGATGAGAAAAGAGCGTAGGCAAGGAAGAGGAATAAACAAAAGATTGTACATAAGTTTGTGAATACTAAATGATAATATATAATTTTTATAATAAGGCAAATAGCCTTACCTTATTGCCATCAGCAAAATAAGCCTATGAGAAAAAGAAATCTATTAAATTTCACATATGTAACATTATCAAGACTATATGGGGTCAGAGGTCTAACAAGCAATTTTCAGACTGATTCTATAACTAAGTGAATTTTACATTTTCTCCCTATAACGTACTTTTTCTCTTCTTAAAATCTGTTGAAAGAGAATTTATGTAATTCATATTAATATTTTACATAAGCTATAAAACTATTTTTCTGTAAGCTTTAAACACTAAATATATGACATAATTACTACTCCATTAAGGTCCTACTCTGCTGCCTCCTTGAGGTATAAGTTTTCAAAGGCTATGTCAATGTATCAAAAGCTCTGGCAGGTCTTTCCAGGCCAGGAAGATACCAAGTATGGGCCAGATGATTAATCTATATGTCCTCCAAGGGCCAGACTAACAAAGTTTAGGAAGCCACATCACAAGAGAGGGTTGATAATTAACTGAGGAGGATTTTTTTGTTTTGTTTTGTTTTCTGGCCACAGCAACTCATTAAACCATTTACTGAGATAGGGCTTTGATTTGTTAGTAGAGCAAACACATCCAAATGTATGTGCTGAATTAACTATTATTAGTACTATTTTCTTTCTTTTTAATAGACAGAATGAGTTAACTTACAACCTATCAGTTTCAACCTATGTTAGCAAAAATCCTTAATACGATCTATCAGAAAATATTTTCTCTGGGTATAATTTGGCATAGCAACATGTTAATAATTAAATTGGTCTAGACTTTTTACACTTCTGCTTCAAAATTTTTCTGCCCTACTTACCACCTATCAATGAAATATTCTGGTCAAGTTAATTTTTTAAAACCACCTTTCCTCCTTAGATATTTAAATTTTTTCAGCCAAAGACAAGGTTTATTAGAACATCTGTCATATTGGGCAGACTCTTAAGGAGCATTAGTGAGCTACTGGCTAGATTATAAGAATCTGAGAATCTTAATGGAGACAAGATGGACCTTATATACAGAAAGACTTTGGGAGGGATCTAGGAGTGGCCAAATAGTCTATGAGGTAATAGAACTCCAGGGACCTGGACCACATGGCCAAGGGAGAATGTAGTCTAGAGAGGATTAAGGGTGAGAAGTAGCTGGCGGCCTTAGTGAGGTAAGACAATGGAGGGCCAGGCTAGGTAGGCTAAGAGTCACAGAGATTGGGCATAGCCATAATGAAAGGCCAGTGGATGGGATTATAGCTTCAGGGGAACACCAGTGATTTGGCCATATGGGAAAGTCCAGGGTTTTCCTTTTTGGGGTTCAGATCCCATCCACATCATTCCCCCCTCAAACAAATGGGACCCAAATTCTTTTGGGGTGATGGGCAAAGGTCTTGGCTTCTGAAACTGCTTCCTGCTGGAAAAGGGTGTAAAGCTGTCCCTGCCTCGAGGGGTTCCCAAAGAGGAGGTTGACTAGAACTGAGCACAGGCTGTATTCATGATGGGGGAACATTTAGATATTTAATTTTAGCAGTGTTTATTAGAGTTCCCTGTAGTAGCAACACAGAGGGGACATTTCTGAATTTTTTTTTTTGACCAAACAATACCAGTTTGAAAACTGCACATTCTCTATTTCCAAACAGGATATACCTATGAAATTAACAAGGAATAATCAAAAGAAGACAGAAAAATGAATCTCTACAAGGGTTTTTAATGCATCAGAGAATTCAAAAAAATGTGTTGTTAATTATTGTTTGGTTTTTGGGTGAATGGCACTGTAAATAAGACAATGAAACATACAATTTTAGAATAAACTTATAATCTTTAATATCTTCTAATAGTCCAAAGCCTGAAGAAATTTTTTACTTGTCTGAAATCATCTGAATGATTCTACTTCCACTTTAAAAACTTGATATTCTTAGACCAGAAGACAATACACATATTCTTTGATCCTATACCTAAAAATTGTGTGCCTAAGATAGCTTTGTTCTCAAGTGTCCCAAGTTCTAGAGTATTTTATCGACTCATACTTTACTTCACTAAAGAGCTGAAAAATTATAGTAATTCAATGGATTTCTTTGAGGATGCTTACCACAAAAGCATCAGTGTGTTCATCAGACTCTATTTCCACATCATCTTGAATTTGTTCAACTGTCAGATCTTCAAGAGGTTGAGGCTATAAAACAAGACACTTAAGAAAATTAGGCTGCACAAAAAAGCAGGCTGATAAGACATATCAAAGTTGTAACAACAATTTAATAACTTTCATTAGGAAAATGTAATTTGGGAATTTTCTTCAATAATAATATCTACTATTGTCTTACAAAAATCTCCTATTTGAGCTACATTCTTCTATTAAAAATCATTTTAATTATAAATCAATTTGAATGTTAAAAAGAATCATTTATATGAAATTTAGGTTTCAAAAATAAATTAGGTCAACATCAAATGACAAATATTACATATGTGGCAAATGCCACATTTAGAGAAACTTTAAAGACAACAGTAAATGTATTTTTGTGATCATTTTTTTCACATAATTTTTTGGATAGTATGAAGTTTTAATTTTCCCTCAAAGTAGAATTAAATAGAATCTGTATTTTTGAAATAGCAAAAAACAAAGATTATGGGGGAACATTTTACAGTTAAGTTAGAATAAAATGTTATGATTTACAGCACTGACATAATGCTATACTATGTGTTTGATAAATATTTGTTGAATGAATTTTAAAGCAGAGACTAAATATTATTTATTATTTCATTCAAAAAGTATTGTTGAGCACCTGTGATGTGCATGATACTGTGTGGGTTACAAAAATGTATTCTGCAGTTTCTGCCTTAAAGGAACTTACAATCTAATAGAAAAGATAAAAATTGTACAGAAATAATTATAAGGCAACAAACAAATAATTATAATACAAGGAGAAGCAAGTACTAAGAGCCACAGGATTCAAAGTGGAAGGTTACCAATCATTTCCAGATAGTGACAGCACTTGAGCTATGCCTGGAATGACTTTGAGAGGTGAAGACCAGTTGGGGATATTCAAGGTGGAAGAATGGCTTGGGTCAAGACAAAGACAAACAAGTTATGCTTTAAGAACGGCAAGTAATGCGCTTTTGTAGGATTTTGTTGGGCTATAAGATTTATGTGATAGGTTTGCACCATGTAAGGTTAGAAAAGCAGGTTGGAGCTATACTGTCTAGGACCTTAAATACCAGGCTATGGGTTTTGTACTTTATTTAATGAACAGGGGAGAATTAATGACAGCTTTGAAATAGGGAAATTATAAGAACAAAATTGTGCTTTAGGAGGAATTTGGAAGTAATGTTAGATGGCCAAGAGAGGGGAAAATCTATAAAGAGAGCAGATATTGCAAGAATCCAAATGTGGGAAATAAGGGCCTAAAATGAGGGATGAAAATAGGAATAGAAAGGTACAGATTTGAGAGATACATGAAGGAAAAATTGTTAGGGCTTGGTGACTAGATGGAGGTTAGGAATGAGGAAAAGGGAGAGGACAATGAGGTCATACATGGGAGTCCCTAGGACAATGGTGGTACAATTAATAGAAATAAGAAAACTAGGAGCAGGAGCTAGTCTGGAGTTGGAAAGAAGAAGAATTTAGTTTCAGACAGGTTTTGAAATGTTTGTGGAAAAGTCCTATATGTGATTAGAAATGGGGGAATGGTGCCCAGGTGAATGGTCAAGGATAAAGATTTAAGACTTGTCTATCTAGCGGTGATATTGAAGTTTCAAGTCAGATCACTAAGGAAGCCTGTATAGAGGAGTGGGCCATACTCAGGAAGTAGAAGAAAGAGAAGGAACAATCAAGGGAAAAAGAGATAAATTGGTCAGAGATGTAAGAGGAGAAGCAGAATAGTCCAGTGACTTGAAACCAGGTTGCTTTTTTTTTGCAAGGCAGCTGGGGCTAAGTGACTTGCCCAGGGTCACACAGCTAGTGAGTTATCATGTGTCTGAGTCCAGATTTGAACTCAGGTCCTCCTGACTTCAAGGCCAGTGCTCTATCTACTGTGCCACCTAGCTGCCCCAAGTTTTTTTTTTTTAAAAGCACTTTGCACTTCTGTCATTGCATATATCAAATTTTTTTTTTACAATGAATTACAGCTACTTAGGTCATCTTCCCTTCTAAATTTTAAGTTCTTTCAGAACTTAAGTTCAATATTATTCGTTTTTATATCTGACAATGCCTAGTACAAAGATGATGCTCAATAAAAGTCTGTTGAATGAATGAACAAAAGGAAGAGGTAGCTCAAAATTACTGAATGCTGCAGAGATCAAGAAGAATGAAGCCTAACAATAAAGACAAATGGATTTGGCAATTGGAAAGGCCCTGGGAATTTTTGAGAGAAATTTCAGTGGAGTGGTGGGGAGAGAAGTCAGATCACAGATGGTTAATATGTGAGTGATTTTTTTTTTGTATGTTTAGTGAGAAAGTGGAAGAAGCAGGGGAGAGACTTCTCGAGAAGTCCAGAAGTAAAAAAGAGAGATAAAAATGATAGCATCACTAAGTGTCATGGCTGAGTAAAGGTGTGCATTTATGTTTTAAAGAGGAGAGAATTGCTCTCTATTGGCAGAAAGATTGAACTAGTAGAACAGAAGTTTGAGGAAATAAGAGAGAAAAGAATTTAGGAAGCAAGACTTGGAGGAAGTGGGAAGAAGTAGAACCAAGAGCACACTTAGTTACATTTAGAATAGAAGGATTACCTTTTCAGCTTAGGAGGGAGTGAGATGAGGAATGGAGACACCGAAATCTAAGGGGAAGAGAAAGAAAGAGATGAAGGAATCAGCACTGTATGGCTTCCACATTTACAGTAAAGTAGAAGGCAGAATCACCTGTTGCAAGTGGAGACAAACAGGGGATTCAGAGATTTAGGAGCATGGAAAAGGTTTGCAAATGTGTAGAATCTAAGGGAAAGTCAAGAGATGAATTTAAAATGTTGTTGTTCAGCAGTGAGGGCCCAGAATCATAGACTATTAGAGGAGAAAAAGCTGCTGGAGATCAAGTACAACTCCCTCACGTTAGAGAGGAGGCAGCTCAGCTCCTGGGCAGGTGAAATTACTTGCTGAAACCTGCACAATAAGTTTGAAGAGCTGGATCAGAACCTAGTGTTTGGCCCTCAGGCCAGCTCTCCTGGCACTGGACATGCTTCCCCATCATCAGAGACAGTAGATTTGTGGTCAGCCTGGCCAGTACAGCTTCATAAATTCCAGCCATGTTCAGCAGCTAGAGAGGAGAAGTAGAGAAAACTGAAGGAATGATGGGTGATACAATGTTAAGAATTTCCACATTGAGTAGGATAGAAGGAAGGAAACAAGAATGTATTAAATGTCTACTGTGTGCCAGGAACTGTGTTACATGCTTTATAGATATTATCTTAGGAGGTAGGTACCCTTACTATTCTCATTTAACAGTTGAGGAAACTGAGGCAGACACAGGTTAAGTAACTTGCCCAGAGTCACACATCTAGTGAGTGTCATGTGGATTAAAGAACAGAGGTCATGATGGAAATCTCTATGTATAGGTCCAAGTTAAGCATAGAGGTAAATAAAACTAGGAAATAGCTAGTAAACTTAGGAAATAGAGGTGCATCAAGGGACTAGAGATTAGGATGAAGGTAGAGAGAAGGTTAATAGGCACAGGGAATGAGAAGTGAAAGATAATGAAGCTGTAATCTGAGGAGACTCCTGGGCTTGAGATCTTTGTGGTAGAGTTGTTCTCTCTAATGATGAGCCTGAATATGTAGTCTTGTTGATGGATGGCTTAAGTAGAATAGAGACAAAGATTTATTAAATAAGGAGACTGCGAGGTGACTGTGTCAGATGCGTTATCTATATGGATGATGAAATTATGGAGAAGGATGGCAAGGGGCCAGAGAGAAAGCCTGACAGTTGCTAAAGTTACTTAGAAAGACAGGAGAGTATCTTGGAAGTCATTTGACAATTGTGATTAGAAAAAGGATGAGGATGGGTATAGTTATAATGAATAGATAACGAAAGAGGCAAACTTGTTGATTAATGATAGGTAAACAAACAATGGTTTGGAAATGGTACCAGGCATCAAGGCTGACCTCCCCTTCTCTTATAGTAATACAGGGAAAGTGTCAAAAGAAATAGCCTTCATTGGAGAGGCCTGTGGAGTAAGAACCAACTTTCAGTTAAGACAGAGGTAGTGTCCATAGAAAAAGAGTATAGTGGACACTGTCCCACAACAGAATTGGCATTACACGGTATAATGGAAGAGATCACAGTGAAGGATGGGCAGGCAACAATTAGGATTGGGATGGAGTATGGCTGAAATGGACAGTAATGATAGTACAGGAAGAGATAAAAGTAAAGGAGGGATTTTTGCTTAATGTATAGATAGCAGGGATAAAAGAATCAGAGGGTTGGCAAGATGCATGTATTAGTGACAGAAGAAGAAAAGTGCTAGGCAGACGGAATTGATGAATTATTTATCATTTTAAAATAGCTAAAATAAAATTTTTGTATGCAATGTTCTGATGTTATCTGTGCTTTTGAATATAATAACCTTATATAACAATATGGCAAATTGATTATTTAGTAAGCTGAAGAAATTACCTTTTCTTCCATCTCATAATCCACCCCAAATATAGGACTGGCAGAATAGACTCTGTGGAGTGAATTTATTTCCTTTACTGACTCCTGTAGTTTTTCCACAGGATCTATTTTGAAACCAAGAACATATCCTCCACTCTACAAGAAATAATAATTTTAAAAGAAATATTTAAATTTAATTTAAAAGAAATATTTCTGTCACATAAGAAATTATAAAGCTTTAATATTCTTGATCTCCAGAGAACAATCTCCACACCAGGCCACCTCTAACTCTGGCTTCCTCATGCTCTTTTCCACCACGAGCACTCAGAACCCCACCTGGGACCCTGTGCTCTGATTGGTAAGTTTTCTCCTTTTCTTTTTTTGGTCTCAGGACCATTCCTTTGGTCAGCTCCAAGCCATGTACCCATGTGAGTCTCCTCCATCTCCCCTTCCAACTCTAGCTCCCACATATGTTATCTTCTACTAGAATAGAAGCTCCTTGAGGGTAGGGACTATTTTTACTTGCTTGTATTTGTATCTCCAGCACTTAGCACAGGGCCTGGTACACTGTAAGCACTTAAAAATACTTTAAAAATTTTCCATTGATTTAGTTATCATAATGCATAACAGATTGTAATAAGTCAAGGGAACCAACTTTTCATTGAGTTATTTCTTGGGAATTATCATAGACTTTTAAAAGGAGACAGGTATTAGCTTTGCCTGAGATTAACTCTTCAGAATGATAGCTAGAAAAACTTAAAGTAGAGGAATGGGTAGACATTCAGGTTTTGGGGCTGAATTTAGAAAGGGAATACAGGGAGGGGTGTGTGTGCGTGTGAGTGCGCGTGTGTGCATGTGCGCGCGTGTAATTTCCTAAGTCATTTCAGTTGTGTCTGACTATTTGTGACCCCATTTGGGGTTTTCTTGGCAAAAATACTGGAGTGATTGTCTTTTCCTTCTCTAGTTCAGGGGTGGGGAACCTGTGGCCTTGAGGCCACATGTGGTCCTCTAAGGTCCTCAAGTGAGGCCCTTTGACTGAATCTAAACTTCATAGAACAAATCCTTTTATTAAGGATCTGAGCTAATAATGTCTGAGGATCAATTTGAACTCACGATGAGTCTTCTTGACTCCAGGCAGTCAATGCACTGCGCCACCTAGCTGCCCAAATAATTTACTTTAATGAATCGCTACTGAAAGTTGGGATAAATAAGGCATAAAAGTTTGTACAGTGAGATATAATAAAATCCTTTTAAATGACACCTAAGAAAAAAAAGATCTACCCACATAATATTTTCTTAAACTAACAAGTATTATTGTTTTTTTGGGAACATCTGAATAAGACTTCAGTCCTCCTATGTAACTTTACACACATAATCCCTTCCTTACCTGGGCTCCCCATTGGTGACTAATATTATATTATATCATTAATAAGCCCTCAGACCTAAGCTGTCACACAGATCTTATACTTATTAAACACAATGCCAAAAACATTAAATATCTTACCTGTTGAGAGCTCTCTATAACAAGTGCTAAACCAAACTTTGAATCTCTGACCTTTATAGAACGCTAGTTATAAAATGAAAAAGAAACAAAAATGTATCTTTATTAGGTGATAAATACTATTTCACATTTATTATTCACTCATACTATTAAGCTTTTAATTCCATAATTCCATTTTTTTCATGGTAAATGATAACTACAACATGATAAATACAATACATGCAGCATGATAAATACAACTACCAACATCTAACTGATGAAAAAATTTCTCCTTGTATTATTTCACCATGGAAATCAATTAACACAGCAATATCAATGATGAAACAGAATTTTCAAATGAAGAAATTCAGTAAAAGGTATCAACCACAAAAATGTACAATTTCCTAAAAATTTCTGACTCTGCACCATGCATCAGTACTAGGCAACTTAAAAAAATGAATCAAGGCCCAGTGATCTGTTAGCATTCGAGGACCACTCCCTTTTGTGGCTATTTTGGCAGAAGTGGTTCAAATGGATATGTGCTTCCTCCCCCACTCAACGAACCCCTCTTATAATCTGAAGGATGTTTAGCATGTTTACCTTAAGGAAAAAGTGCTTAGGGGATCATAATTGTTACTTCAAACATGTAAAGGCCTGTCATGTGGTGTTAGATTATAAATGACTCTAGATGACAGATCTAAAGCAAATGAATGGAGGCAGGTCATGTTGTTTTCTTTTGTTTCCCACCCTAGCATAGTACCTAGCATATAGTTAGTTTAATAAATGCTTTATTTCTCCAACTATGTTCCTTTGATCAGTTCAGATGAAAGTGAGATTCAAATACCTTCAGTCTCTTCCTCCTCTCTTATTTTCCCATCCCTTCCTCTGCTTACCCCTTTCTGCCCTAGTATCTTTGTCCTTCTCTTTCCTTTCTTGTTAAGATTATTGAAGCATAATAAAACCACTCCTAGGCTCTGTCATACTTACTCTCTCTATAACCCTTGATGATATTAAGGTTCAGAGGAGACACTTGTATTATTACCCCCAACAGAAGAAAAATACTGGTTTGTATTTACTGTTTTATATTTTTCTTGACTCTTTGGATTACAAGGTTTCTACTCAATTCTAGTTTTTTGCATCAGGAATGCCTGGAAGTCTGTTATTTCATTAGAAGCCCATTCCAACTCTACCTTACCCTCTTCCTGCCCCCCCCCATACTTTTTCTATGCTCAGTTTTGCCAGGTTGGTTTTTCTTTATATGGAAAGACATTAAAAAACCTTTTTGGTAAAACAGAATATATTAAGAAATAATGTTTTCTCCAGCCCAAAACCCCTTTTAGGAAATTGGGTAGGACAAAAAAAGCTAAGAACTTTCTTAGGAAAACAATATTATTGCCTTCCCCATACCTGAGTTCATGGGACTATTATCCATCTAAAGGTAGTCTTTAGTTTCCCTTCCCCTGAAGTTATCTGGGCTAAAACACAGCCTTCTCCATAGAGAAAGGCTATTGATATCATCTCTGAGTGGAGTCCCATCAATTCTTTGGGGGGAATTGTCCAAAAAAGAATGGGATGGTGTTTTTGTTACTGAACTATTTTCTGAGACATTACCACCAAGCTGTATTTTAACATATTGTGAGCTTCTTTTGTTCAAAATTCCTACAAATGTCAACTAAAATTTTCTGGAGCAAAGAGGGCATGAGGGACCTATGCTAATTTGCTTACCTTTCTCTACATCAGAAAATGCTTAGATAGTAGATTACTGTTAAATAAAATTGTTTCCTAAAACAATTGTACCTAAAACACAGAATACACTATTTTTTTCTTTGATACTTGGTCATAAGCCTAGATCTTTTACTCTTTAGGATATTATATTCTAAGTTCTCTGCTCCTTAATAATGGTGGCTGCTAAATGTGTGATCCTGTCTCTGGTTCCTTGGGATCTGAAATCTTTCTAGCTACTTGCAATATTTTCTCTTTCTAGACCTGGAAGCTCTGGATTTTGGCTATTTTGTTCCTGAAAGTTTTAAATTTAGAGCTTCTTTCAGGGGTATGACTGGTTGCTTTTTTACTTTTACTCTGACCTCTGGGTTCTAATAGATGTGGAAAGTTTTCTTTCATGATTTCTTGAAAAAGGATATCTAGACTCTTTATTTGGAGGGAGGGGTCATAGCTTTCACGTAGTACAATGATTCTTTAATATTTCATCTTGATCTGTTTTTCAGGTCACTTGTTTTTGATAAAAGATACCTGACATCTTCTTCTGTATTGTCAATCTTTTGATTTTGTTTTTAATATTTCTTATTGTTTCAAAGAGTCATTAACTTCTGTTTGGTCTGTTCTATTTTTCAGTGAAGAAGGTTTTGTACTTTTTGTACTAAGTTCTTAATTCTTCTTCCCTGTCCTTCAAAACTCTCATTTCTTTTCCAATTTTTTTCCTCTAATGCTCTCATTTCATTTATAAAATCATTTGTTAACACTTGCTTCATACCTTTTAGGAATTTAATTGACCTTATGTCCACACTGTGTTCTCCTTTGAGGTTTTGAGTCATCTACTTCCATGTTTGTGTTTTGGATGTCCCTGATACTAGAAGAGCTCTTCATTTAGGGAATCTTTTCATTATTTAATCATTCTTCTAGCTTTACTTTTCAAACTGAAACTTTTTGTAGGGCCAGACTCAGCACACTTGTGGAGGGAATTTCTGGGCCTTATTTGGTCCTGATGTAATCTTTGGGGTCTTACTGCCACTTTCTCTGGATACTGAATGGTATATTCTCATAGGGTCTTGGGACCACTCAGTATAGGGACCTGAAAGTTTTCTGTGGGCCCAAAGCAGTCTGATTTAGGGAGAAGTATGATCACTGCCCTCTTGGTCTAGAAGCTATGCAAGCCTGGTTTGGGATTAAGCCACACAACTGTAGGCTTGCTGGTTAGAGCACTAGTAGACTGCAAACGAACCAAGCCCCTGTAAGCTAGCCAGAGGGCTCTACAGTTTCAGAGTGATAGAACTTCAGGCTTCCCCTAGGTCTGAGCTCCCTACCTGGTTCAATCAGCTGTAGGTCTCAGACAGAGTTGGTAGCTGAATTCAAGACCCTGTTCTGGAGACCGAGTCACATAGCTGCTGCTTGCTTCTGTTTAGCCTCAGGCAAGAGACCTGGCAGTGATCTGGTACCAGCAGCAGGTCAGCAGCACATAGGCTCTGGTTATCTCCTCAGTCCACATTCAATTGTTACCCAGTTCTGGAAATCAGAGTGACAGAATTGCCAGGTGATTCTGTCCCTACTGCATCTGGGACCACTTCCTGCTCTAGGTACATGTCTGTAGGTTCCAATTCAGTCCCTAGGCTGGAAGACTACGTGCAGTACCTTTCTGGCTAGACCAGTCCCTAGTGCCTGCAGACCTGGGCTGGAAAAATGACTTTGCTTTCTCCTTGGATTTCCTAATTACTATTTAGTCTGATGCTTTTTCTAAGTTTTTGTTGGAGTAATTGTGATGAAGAGCTGATCTGTATTGCCTTCTCTTACTCTATCATCTTTGCTAGTTTTAAGCATGAGTCTTAAAGAGCTCATCTCTAACCTAAAGTTACTTTGGGGAAGATGGTCAATAAGCATTTGTTAAATACCTATTATGTGCCAGGTAATGTGCTGAGTGGTGGGGATATAAAGAAAGACAAAAAACAGTCCTATTCTCAAAGAGTTCACAGTCTAATGGAGTAGATAACATGCAAACAACTATGTAAAATCTAAATACACAGAGGATAAAAACATCAACAGAGGGAAGGCACTACCATTAAGGAGGAAAGGCTTCTTGTAGAAAGTGGGATTTTAGTTAAGACTTGGAAGGAAATCAGGAGATAGAGGTGAGAAGGAAGAGAATTCTAGGAATGGGAGACAGTCAGTGAAAATGCAAGGAACTGAGAGACAGAGTGTGCTCAGTGAGAGACAGCAAGAAAGTGATTGTCACTAGACTGCAGAGTACCTGGGATTGAGTAAGGTACAAAAAGACTGGAAGGACAGGTGGAGGTCAGGTTAGGAAGGGTTTTTAACCCAGAGGATTTTATATTTGATCCTGAAAGCAACAGGGAACTACTGGAATTAATTGAATTAGGGAGGGGTAATATGGTCAGATCTATTTTTTAGAAGATCAGTTTGATAGCTATGCAGAGGACAGACTGAATGGGGAAACATTTGAGGCAGGGAGAACAACCTGAAAGCTATTGTAATAATCAAGGCTATTTGTGATGATGCCCTGAACCAAGGTGGTGGTATATATGAGAGGCAGTGGCATGCAAGTAATTGTGTATGCTGCTACTTATAACTATGCATGTCATGCAGTTATCTTACATTACCTCATAAGGAACTTGTGGGAATACTTCTGATCACCTAAATACCTTGCATGAAGTCCAAGAAAGGTCCACTTTGTAATTTCTCTTCACAGTAAGTAGGAGTATTTGAAAGTTCCAGTGTACTTTACTTTTCCTAGAATGCTAATTGATAATGGCATACTATTCTATGTATATATTTGGATATTTTCCTATGTTGAAAAAGCAAATAACGACCATTTTTATCATAATTAACTAGGCATTCTGAAATGAAAACAGCTACTATTCAACAAATAAAAAAGGAAATAGTGAACTAGTCTAAAACAAACCATGAAATCCTTTTTGGATTTTATAATTATATATTAGTATTTATAAAACACTAAAAGGAAATAACAAAATTTAAAATAAGGCCATCAAAGTGTGCGTACTTACAATTTGCAGATATGGTATACTGACGTTGAAACTGTCATTCATATTTGCATGCCAAACAATTCTCACATTAGTAATAAAAAAGGTTCCCAAATTTCCCTATAAAAACAATTTAAGGTATGCATTGATTAGAATCCATAGGCTGTCCTATTATTGCAAAAAAATTCTGAATTATGCTAAACAGTTCTGTAAACAATGCCTAAATTAAACTTTATAGCCAGCAACATTACAACTTTCTTACTCGGGTCTTAGGATGTTAGAAAAATTATGGCAAAGTAAGAGAGAAACATATGAGACAACCTGTCAAAGTACACCAGGGAGACTTTATGGCTCTTGTCACCATAAACTGGAGCGTACAGTTCTTCCCCAGGTAACCATGACTATCTAAAAACTTATTCTAAAATTCTCCAGCTTGATAGTCTAAAAATCTTAAAAGCAAATAAAAAAACAACCCAGTGCTTAAAAACAAATGACATTTGTATAGCACCTTAAAATTTGCACTTATGTAAAATGCTTTGCACTTTTTTTGAGGCAACTGGGGTTAAATGAGTTGCCCAGGGTCTGTCTGTCTGTCTGTCTCTCTCTCTCTCTTTCTCTTACACACTCACACATACACACGTGTCTGCGGCTGCATTTGAACTCAGGTCCTCTTGCCTCCAGGGTAGGTGCTCTATCCACTGGGCCACCTAGCTGCCCCTACAAGGCACTTCAGATACATCATCTCATTTTAAACTTCATAATCACTCAACAAGGTAAGTCCCACAGGTTTTTTATTTTTATCTCCATTTCACAAATGAGGAAAATAAGGCTCAGAGCATTTAAGCAACTTGTCCATAGTCATCCTGCTAGTAAGGCTGGGAGGCAAGATTTGAAACCAGGTTTCCCTGACTCTAAGTCCCGAACTGAATCCCCTGTAACACAAGTACTCTCTACACATTGGCTTTCAAAAAAGAAAGTGTATATGATGTTTGGGTTCACCATTTCAAGTTTCAAAACAACAACAACAACTAAAGAGGCATCTTTTGGATGACCAGATTTATAAAAACAGGAAAACGATACAAGACACATAGCACAGTTTCCAAAGTCATATTGGCACCTTACAGAGGATTATGTTCAACACTGACAGTAATTATCCTGAAGTCATTATTATTTCAATCCATTTTCATATGGAACATTTCTTAAAAGAGTTTTACATAATTTTTTTTATTTCTCACTTAGAAAAAGAGCATTTGTGATACTCCTAAAGACTTACTGTAACAAAGGGAAACATTTTTGTTTTGTTTTGTTTAAATTCAACTTAATCTGTAAGCACCTACTGTGTACAAGGTATTGTGTGAGGTGCTGGAGATACAAAGGGAAAAACCAGTTTCTGACTTCAAGGAGCTTACATTCTAAATGGGGGGGGGTCATACACATAGATATAATAGATGGTAGAGAGGGATGGGGCAAAAGAAGGGTTCAGACAGGATGCTCTAGGAAATTGTCGTTAGTAGGAGATGCTAACAAGATTATAATACATTATAACAGATGTAAATACATTTATCCTCTTTCATATATTTTAAATTTTGCAATGTAAGGGATGTTCAGAATAAATAGAATCAGTATGTAATAAGTGCTATAGTACTGGTATTTTTAACAGTGTGCCAAGAAAAGGACACATTCTGTTTTCAAGATGTTTGGAGTCATTAAAAGATTCTGCAATTTCCCAAAGACAATACAACTTGTTCTCTTCTTCTTCAGTCCTGGGCCCAATTCACTGTCTGTTTGCAGTGTCTGATGAAGATACATACACACTTGCATATGATAGATGGACATGCTCTACAGGCTGTCATCCAACTGCATCTTATGATTTGGATAATATATCATCTTCATCTACTTGGTTTTTCAAATGTGAATAGTTAGACCAAGCTCTTGACACTTATGGATCTCTGCAATGTTCTGGGATTTGATGTAATCAACCCAGTATCACCTGCAAACCGGAGCCTCCAAAGGACTTCACTATCTATTTGGAATTCTTCAAATTGTGCTGGAGCTCTTCCACCACAGTGACAAATACTTCTGGCTGGCATCAGTCTCCCTATTTTATGCCTCATCTGATATTAGAGATTATAGGTTATCAAATAAGATTATCTCTGTTGTTAAATCTTTCAAGGAGGCTTATATAATTTTAACACAGGTATGGGAAAGAGCTTTTAATATTATTCCAGTTTTCTTTCATAATCATGAGACAACAGTCTCCAAAGAACTGAAAAAGTCTATCACCCAGAAGGCAACGGAAAGGGCTGAGGTAGATGTGAACAAGCTGAAACATATCACCAACAAGGAATTAGGAAAAGAAGCAGAATGAAGGATGTCATCAAAGAAATGCCCAAGAAAAAGAATCTGGGCTAGTCACATGGGAACAGTGAAGTAGATCAGATGGAGAGCGGTAGTACCCTTCCAATGTCAAGAGAAATCAAGGAAGGCTCGAGGCACATTAGGTAGACCCATTGTAGGAAACTTACAGAAGCATATAGATGAGAGTTTCCTAGAATGAGCAGTCAGGAATGTTGGAGGGAATGATTATACTGAAGAGATGGAGATCCATTTGAGTATCTGAGTAGACGAGCCAAGTAAAAATGACTGTTAAGACTCTATTAAAGCCTTTATTAAAGTCTTGCCTTGAACCATACCTGGTCACTGGATAAATTCCAAACGCCATTGATTTTATCATATACTTGTTCCTGTGGTAATAATCTTAGCTGTTTGTTTTGAATTAATGCACTCCTCAGTTTAAAATCACGGTACATTTTAGAAGTTTCATAAGCTCTGCAAGAAAAAAAAATAGGCCAGTAAAGCTGAAAATGTAATTTTAAAATTTTATATTTATACATGTCTAATATTACTGATATAATAATGCATTTATTTTCTATATTGCATAAATAATTAGCATAGATGCTAACCAGCTTTATAAAAGTCAGTTTTTATTTTTTGCTTCAATGAAGGTTAGTAGTCAGTTCCTACTCTATACCAGTATTAAGTTCCTACTCTATACCAGGCACTGTGCTAAACACTGGAGATACTAAGAAAGGCAAAAACAGTCCCTGCTCCATCTAATGGAGGAGGGAACATGTAAACAACCATGTAGAAAGAAGATATATACAAGACAAATTAGAGAGAATCTTAGGAGGAAGGAACTAGAATACTTTGGGTCACGTAACTAGTAACCAGAAATTTAAAAGTTACTGGTAGACTATTTTTCTATCTTATGTTTAAAAAATTATGTTCAAATTTAGTAGTGGTTGTCCTCAACATCTAATTTTTTAGGTAGAAAAAAATCTCAAATGTTCTTAATACATCATACAACACAAACAATTCATCAATATAGGGAATTCCTGGTGAGGAAATTCCTTCTATGGAAGATCTGCAATTGTTTTGCAACTTTCAGACTTGTCAGTCAAACTAGCATTAATGAAGAGCCTACTATGTGCCAGACACTATGCTAAGTGCTGTAGGTACTGTGCTGTGCTCTGGTTTTATAAAGTTCCCTGGGGCACTGAGGGATTAAGGACACTCTAAGGACAGCATTCTTTCCACTATGCCAGATGTAGAACCTTCATTTTTCTTTGTTATGCCTATATTTATATATACACATATACATATATGAAACAGTAATTCCTACATATATATCATGTGTGTGCATATATACATGCACATGTGCATGTGTACATGCACATACAAACACACACACACACCACACACACACACACACACAGAGGCAGCTAAGTATTAGTGGGCTTGGAGTCAGGAAGACCTGAATTGAAATTTGACTTCAGATACTTACTAGCTGTGTGACTGGGCAAATCATTTAACCTCTGTTTGCCTTAGTTTCCTCAATTATAACATGAGTATAACAAAAGTATCTGTTCTCAGGATTTTTGTGAGGATAAATGAGATCATATTTATAAAGTATTTAGCACAGGCTCAGCACATAGTAGGTACTTAACATATGCTTCTTTTCTTCCTTATATTTATCCTCCAAACTAGCTCCCTTTTTCTTTTTTCTTTTTTTTATGAATTTATTTATTTTTAGTTTTCAACATTCACTTCTACAAGATTTTGAGTTCTCCCCATCTCATCCTTCCTCCTACCCCAAAATGGCATGCATTCTGAATACCCCTTCTCCTAATCTGCCCTCCCTTCTATCTCCCCCTCCCCCTTCTCTTATCCTCTTCCCCTTTAATTTTCCTGTAGGGCAGGATAGATTTCTATACCTCATTTCCTGTACATCTTATTTCCCAGTTGCAGGTGAAAACAATTTTTTTAACATTTGTTTTTAAAACTTTGGGTTCCAAAATTTCTCCCTTCCTCCTTCCCCACCCATTCTCATTGAGAAGGCAAGCAACTCGATATGGGTTATACATGTGTAGCATGCAAAACACTTCCATAGTAGTCATGTTGTGAAAAACTAATTATATTTCCCTTCATCCTATCCTGCCCCCCATTTATTCTATTCTCACTCTTGACACTGTCCTTCCTTAGAAGTGTTTGCTTCTGATTACCCACTCTCCCAATCTGCCCTCCCCTCTACCATCCCCCTGCTCTCTTGTCCCCTTCCCCTCCTATTTTCCTGTAAGATAAATTTCCATAACCAATTGAGTGTGTATGCTATTCCTTCCTTAAGCCAAATCTATGAGAATAAGATTCACTCATTCCCTTTCACCTTCCCTTGTTTCCCCTCCACTGTAAAAGCCTTTTCTTGTCTGCTTTATGTGAGATAAATTACCCCATTCTACTTCTCCCTTTCTCCTTCTCCCAGTATAATCCTCTCTCACTCCTTAATTTTATTCTCCAGATATCACCCCTTCATTTTCAACTCACCCTGTGCCCTCTATTTATCTATCTATCTATCTACGTATATACATACATATAATTTTTTTCCTCCAACTACCCTAATACTGACAAAGGTCTCATGAGTTACAAATATCATCTTTCCCTAGCAGGAATGAAAACAGCGCAACCTTAATAAGTCCCTTATGATTTCTCTTTCCTGTTTACCTCTTCATGTTTCTCTTGAGGCTTGTATTTGAAAGTCAAATCTTCTATTCAGGTCTGGTCTTTTCATCAAGAATCTAGCTCCCTTTTTCTGATGTTTCTATTTGTGTCAATGATATTATTCTATCATTCCCAAGGGCTTAAAACCACAGAACTAGGCTGTTCACACTGTTCTTTGAACAAATTATGCTTTTTTCCACCTAGCTTGGTAAATATATGACAGTGTTTGCTTATAATGTTTTGTCTGCTTAAAATACCCTTCCTTCTCTTTTCCACTTATCCAAATCACACTTATCCTTAAAGGCCCAGTTCTCTACAAAATTTTCCCAAACCATTCTGGCCTACATTGATCTATCCAATGAATATCAAATAAATAGTATTATCAACAAATAGCACTTATTATCACTTCTTTGGACACTTAATAGAAATAATACAATATATTAATATGATAGATAACATATAGTATACTATAAATAACAGAAACTATTTACATATTGTCTTATATTTTTATGCTTTATTTGAATATTTCATGCATGTACACCTTATCTTCCTAAGTAGATGGTCAGCTCCCTGGAATTAGGAACTATTTTTTTTTTAATCTCCCCCATTGCTAGGTACATAGCTGGAACTCATGAATGAAACAAAGAATAAAGTAAAACTTTAATCAGAAATCTCAAGGAATTGGGTATTATTGTTAACTGTACTTTCTCATTAACAGGTTTCACTTGAGAATAATTTTATTTCAACTATTGTCAAAATACATCAGTCCATTTTCCTGGCTGATAAGTACAGTATTCTGAGGAAAACATTTCTTTGAAGAATCAGGATCAGCATTCTGAACATCAATGATGATTGTAATAATACTGAAATAGAAAACATAGGAAATTGGCCTGAACACTCTAACTCAGAGACATATCCTAGAAGTTGTTTTGTTGTTTCTTTAAAATACTAATACCCAACATAATTTTCTCATTTCCCTTTTACTGATAAAGAATAAATGCAGGACAATATTCTGGATAAATGAGCTTTCTGATTAATTGATTAACACTCTTTCTAGCTTTACTGCATATATAAATTGGCTAACAATTTTGTAATATCAATAAAACGACTTCCTTAGCTTTCAAAATTGTAGCAAGTTACATGTAAGCAACATCACGTAAATGGAATAAAATAGTGCCTCTCATTTTGAGACTTCTTTGTTACATATAAACACACACATACACACAAACACAAACTATAAATCATGGCCAAAGATAACTTGAGTAATATGCCAAGAAATGTGAAATTTCTATCTCTAATCATGTGCCCTTAATGAGTGGTGGAAATATAAATTACTGATACAGAAAATACTTACAGCATTTGTATACTGTTAAGTGGATATTGAAGGGGCCCAGAGTTCCTGAAATTGCCATCTTTCTTTAGTATTATCAAAACTACTTCTAACATTATATTCAAATCTTAGTATTTATTGACCAGATAGATACAAAATAAAATGGAGGGCTTGCTGAAGTAGATGTAACTTGATCCAAATAGTTGAGGCAAAAAAATAAACAAAAAAACTCAATAAAACCAACCACCCCTCTAATGAGAAAAAAGCACTCTCAAATTTCTCAGTTTTCCAGTGAGATTGCTTATATTAATTCAACTCTTCATCTCTCTTTTTCTAGCTACCTACTGTGGACAAATAAGAATCCTGGAAAAACTTTTAATGTTTCAGCTTACAAATGAGATGAAAAAAAATGTGCCCTTTCGGGTTTCTTGTAAGGATATTATTTCACATTATTATTCTAGGAAAACGATGTCATATTTTTCTCTGCACCTTCTTTAATACATGTGCCTTCATATCATAAAGTGACCAAATAAAATCTAATAATTCAAAAACTTTTTTTTTTTACCATACCTGTGTACTGCAATGACAGAGGTAAAAAGTCTAGGATTCCCAGGAACCACATTTGTAAATATAAACTCAAAACGAGTATTGTTACATTTTGTTAGTATGTAAAGAGCTTCAGTCTGGCCCCGTAACTTCTGTAAGGACAAATTGTTAATGCTTATTAATAATTTCTATTTCATAGGCAATTATTAGTTAATAGTGAAAAATTAGGTTAAAATGCAAATACAAATCTAAAATAATGCAGATCTAAAATATATCTTCGTTATAGATTTAATGGTTAAGGACTAGACTTGTAATTCTGCTGATATAAGGACTCCTGGGGAAGGAGGCTCCTTTTATCAATGCAAGCTGGCATCTTCTTTGCAATTTATGATTTCAGAGGTTTGTTTAGAGTGTAGAGAGACTAGGTGACTTGTCCAAGGTCACCTAGCTGGGATGTATAAGGCAGGACTTGAACCTAGGTCTTCCTGGCCTTGAGATTAGTTCTCCATCTACTTTCCATGCTGCCTCAACATTTTTAACAAATGGAAAACACTTTTAAATTACTTTTAATTGCATGTTACATTTTTAACAACTTTAATAAGTTTTATATTTTTCATACTCACAGAATTAGCAGTTCTTGTTGTAATACTGATTATGCAGTTGTAGCCAACAGCTAAAGTTAAAAATAAAATATAAATGTTAAAGTAAATTAAACAGAGAATACACAGTGCAAGAAACAAAGTAAAACCTTCTACACTTTTAAACACCAATTACATAGTGGAATAAAGGTTTTTTAAAGCTCATAAATTATTGTCGGTATACTTTTTTTTTTTAAAGGAAAAGGAGAACTAGAGATTCAATTCTCCAATTACATATTTTCCTCTTCCTAGAAAAATAAAAATCCAGGATGTAGGAAGTCTGCTTTTTTATAGTTCACATAACATCTCCTTAAATAGAATTTAGCATCTTTTACCAGATGAGAAAGTCCATAAATGGATAGGATGAAATTAGAAAATAATTAATGGTAAACTCTAGGATGTTATATTATTTTAAATCATTTTAAAGATCAAAAACACAAATTATCATGACCATTTACTACTGCATAGTTATGAGAAATAACAACTTCCTTGTTATGGAAATAGGTTATTGGTTATAAAATTTAAGTCAAAAGTGATTATCAAAAAAATCAGAAAACAAAGAGGAATCACACTGGAGAGATGGGAAAAGGATATCTGGCAAGTGTTTAATTTCTAAAAAATTCCCCAAACTCCCTACCCTGAAGGCTTAATCTCATATACTTTTCTAGAAAAGATGATCTGAAGAAAAAAAATCAGACAATGCAGAAAAAACATTTATGTTTGTATTATGATGTAAACTTTGATAGTTCTATAAATTCCTTGACATTTCACGAGTAAGTTCTTTTCATAGCATATATTGTTAGGCATTATAAACAACTATGAGAATGTAGTAATTTACTCTACGGATTTTCTATTTTTAAGTTAACTTAAATATATACTTACAAAGATTGACTCTGGGTAATGCCAAAGAATGCCATATAATTCTCAAATTTGTCACTAACAATCTACCTGAAATAAAAAGAACTGAAATGTTTAGCTGGCCTAGAGATTTTAACTTGTAATACATCTGTGAAATGAGAAATTGTGATTTCTCAACCTATTTATTAGTAACAAATTCACATTTATAGAACACTTCATAGTTAAAGTATTTTATACATATTATCTCATATAATCCACAGCACTACTTTGAAGTAGATAGTGCAATTATTATCCCCATTTTACAGATAAAGAAACTGAAGTTCATAGAGAATAAGTACTCACAGCCAAGATTCAAAGCTAGGTCTTCCAACTATATCATCTATTCATTTCCTCGTTCAAAAAGTTATGGATAACTACACTTTCCTGTGTTCAAGGCACAGTGTTATATCATCAAATGAAGCTCATACCACTCAAGGCACAATGTTATATCATCAAATGAAGGTCAGAGATTTAGAAGAGACTGAAAAAAGTGGAAGCATTGAGTGAAGATGGCTTTTTTTTAAAAGGAATTTGACTGAGTATAGGGGAAGAGATGGATGCTAGTGGTAATGATAGGATCTGGGGATTATTTTTAAGGACAGAGGAGATTTGAACATCTTTGTAGGTGTCCTACAAAGGGAAGGAATAGGGTGATAGGAACGGATTTCATATTAGACAGGAGAGATGATAATGGAGGCAATCTGCCAGAAATGATGGGAGGGAATGGGATCAAGAGTACATATAAAATGCTTGGGTTTTGTTTTTTTTTTGGCAATTGGGGTTAAGTGACTTGCCCAGGGTCACACAGCTAGTAAGTGTCAAGTGTTTGGTCTGAGGCTGGATTTGAACTCAGGTCCTCTTAACTTCAGGGCCGGTGCTCTATCCACTGCGTCACCTAGCTGCCCCAAAAGGCTTGGTTTTACAACTCTGAGGTACCACCTCACACCTATCAGATTGGCTAATACGACAAAAAAGAAAATTGTTGGATGTTAGAAGGGATGTGGGAAAACTAGGACACTAATGCACTGCTGGTAGAGCTGTAAACTGATCCAGCCATTCTGGAGAGCAATCTGGAACCATTCCCAAAGGGCTATAACACTGTGCATACCCTTTGATCCAGCAATACCACTTCTAGTCTACATCCCAAAGACATCGAAAAAAAGGGAAAAGGATCTATTTGTACAAAAATATTTATAGAAGCTCTTTTTGTGCTGGCTAAGAACTGGAAATCAAAGGGATGCCCATCAACTGGGAAATGGCTAAACAAGCTGTGGTATGTGATTGTGATGGAATATTATTGTGCTATAAGCAGTGACCAGCAGGATGATTTCATAAAAACCTGGAAATGGGGCAGCTAGGTGGTTAGTACGTAGTACACCAGCCCTGGAGTCAGGAAGACCTGAGTTCAAATTCGGCTTCAGACACTTGACACTTACTAGCTGTGTGACCCTGGACAAGTCACTTAACCCCACTGCCTAGCCAAACAAAAAAAAACCAAAACCCAGAAAAACCTGGAAAGATTTCCATGAACTCATGCAAAGTGAAGTGAACAGAACCAGCAAAACATTGTACCCAGTAATAGTAATATTGTATGATGAAGAACTGTGAATGACTTAGGTATTCTCAGCAATACAATGATCCAAGATAATCCCAAAGGACTCATGATGAGTCTGCCTCCAGAGAAAGAACTGATAGTGTTTGAATACAGACTGAATGAAGCATGCTATTTTCCACTTTATTTCTTTCATTCTTTTTCTTTTATTTGGGTCCTCTTGCACAAAATGACTAATATGAAAATGTTTTACATGATTGCATATATATAACCTACATCTGATTGCTTACTGTCTTGGGGAAGGGGGAGGAAATGGAGGAAGGGATAGAATGTGGAACTCAGAACTTTAAAAAAAAATTAAAAAATTGTTTTAACATGTAATTGGGGAAAAATGAAATATATTAAATTTTTAAAAATCAACATATTTCCAAAAAGCTAAAAAAAAAAGGGCTTGGTTTTGGCAAGGAGAAGGACTACCTCTTCATCATAGACTCAAGTAAAGGAGGAGCTAGTTTGAAAAAATGTAATGGGTATGTGAGATGAGGAGTAGGGGAGAAAAAATGAGCTTGTTGGGGGTGGGGAGCCAAGATGGTAGAATAAAAGCAGACACTTGCTTGAACTCTCCACCAAACCCTTCCAAATACCTGTAAAAATGACTCTAAACAAATTCTAGAGCAGCAGAACCCACAAAAAGGCAGAGTGAAACAAATTTTCAAGACAACCTGGATGATTGATGGGAAAGGTTGTGCTGGGCTGGGAGAGGAGCACAGTTCAGTGTGGGCTGTGTAGGCAAAGACTGTACCTCAGCGAATCTGGAGCAGGACTCAGGGAACTGAATCATTGGCAGCTATGTCAGTTTCCAGACTTCTCAACCCACAAACGCCAAAGACAACTTAGAAGTTCAGTAGGAAAGGTCTGTTGGACTTGGGTGAGAGAGGAGCGTGGTGCAGCCCCAGCCCTGGCACAACTCCGAGGTGGCAGCAGAAACTGCTTGCAGAGCTCTTGGCCCACAGATGGAGGAGGGGATCGAGTGGCTGATGAGAGGGGAATTGCAGGGATCTCTTTGCTGGAGTTGAGGTAGGATTCTCTTGCTTTGCTTGTGCTTAGATCTGGCTCACAGTTCTGGGTAGTGGTCCTGGGGTGAGGAGGAGCACTGGCATGGCAGAGCTTGCGGTGGCGGTAGAGAGGGAAACTTCCTCACAATTTCAAGCAGAAAAGAGTGAGTTTGGTCACTCATAGACCAGAGCACAGGAAAGGAAAGGAGTAAACACCTCTCTTGATCATACCACCTTGGAAAAACTGAAAATTTACAGGTCCCTAGAAGTATCTCTGAAAACAACTGCACAAAACCCCTGAAGCTTGGGACAGTACACCCTCCATACCGGAAGCAGACTCCTACCTTAACAAAGAGTTTAAAAGTCAAGTAAATGGCTGGGAACATGAGCAAACAGCACAAAAAGAGTCAGACCAAAGAATCTTACTTTGATGACAAAGAAGATCAAAACATGCAACCAGAAGACACAAAAGTCAAAGCTCCTACATCCAAAGTCTCAAGAAAAATATGAATTTCTTTCAGGCCATGGAAGAGCTCAAAAAGGATTCTGAAAAGCAAGTAAGAGAAGTAGAGGAAAAACTGGTAAGAGAAATGAGAGTGATGCAAGGAAATCATGAAAAATGAGTCAACAACTTGCTAAAGGAGACCCCAAAAAATACTGAAGAAAATAACACCTTAAAAAGTAGACTAACTGGCAAAAGAGGTCCCAAATGCCAATGAGGAGAAGAATGCCTTAAAAAGCAGAATTGGCCAAATAGAAAAAGAGGCCCAAAACCTTAATGAAGAAAATAATTCCTTAAAAATTAGAATAGAGCAAATGGAAGCTAATGACTCTATGAGAAATCAAGAAATTATAAAACAAAATCAAAAGAATGAAAAAACAGAAGCCAATGTGAAATATCTCATTGGAAAGACAACTGACCTGGAAAATAGATCCAGGAGAGAGAATTTAAAAATTACTGGACTACCTTAAAGCCATGATCAAAAAAAAGAGCCTAGACATCATCTTTCAAGAAATTATCATGGAAAATTGCTCTGATATTCTAGAACCAGAAGGCAAAATAGAATTTGAAAGAATCCACCAATCACCTCCTGAAAGATAACGGCTTCTACTTTTTTAGCTTAGTATGAGGTGAGGCCCTCAGGTTGGGGATAGAGGAAGGTGTGCTGGTAGGAGGCTTGAGGAGAGAAGAAAAGGTATAGAACAACTGCTGTGGTGAGCAGAATAGAGGCTGCCTTGAGGCAGCAAGTTCCCCATCCCTGGGAATAGTAAGACATAGGGTGAGATGTAATGATAAAAGATTATTATCAGATAACAGAAATATGGAAACGTTCAAGTGTATGAGAATCCTTGTGCTGATGTGCAGTGAAGGAACAGGTTATTCTCTTGAAGATACTGAAGAATTGGGAGTATTCAAGATACATGTTGTAGTTCCCTAGTACCAAGGCAGGAACTGAGTTTGAAAGTGAGACTATGAGATTTATATGAGCTGATGCAAAGTGAAACGTACTGTGTACAAAGTAACAGCAATATTGGAGGATGATCAACTATGAATGACTTAGTTATTCTTAGTAATACAATGATCCATGACAGCTCTGAAGGACTTATAATGAAAAATGCTATCTATCCCCAAAGAAACAACTGATGGTATCTGAATATAGACTGAAGCATACTTTTAACTTTTTCATTTTTCTTGAGGGTTTTGTCTATGTTTTCTTTCATAACATGACTGTTATGGAAGAGGTTTGCACGACCATACATGTATAATCTGTATCAAATTCCTTGCCTTCTCAATGGAGGGTGGTGGGTGAGTAGGGAGGAAGGGAGAGAATCTGGAATTCAAAGTTTTAAAAATGAATATTAAAAATTGATTTTACATGTAACTGGGGAAAAATAAAATACTAAATAAATTTTTAAAAATTGTAAAAAAAAAAAAGTGAGACTGAGCCAGGTCTTGAACTCATTGAGAAAGGAAGGATATTGTTATTAATGGCCACCCTAATATGAACTAGGTGAGAAATTTTAACAGAATGAACTACAAAGGAGGAGAGATTACTGAGTGAAGAGTGCAGAGGGAGGGTCTGGAAGCAGTAATGGGGAACAAAGAGTAATCTGGATTCCCTCATTGCAACCATTGAGTTGGAGGTATGAGAGAAGGTAAAGTTATAGTCAGTAGTGAAAAGGATGGCCAGGAATTTAGTATCATGGGGACAGGAGGATGGAGAGGTCTTAGTGAGTGCTAGTAGATGGAAGAAAGAGTGGGGAGAAAGAATGAAAGGTAATTTGTAGAATGTCCCCTATGTAGGGGACGTAGCAGAAGGAGCTATCTGGAGTAGGACTTTGTGAGTTTAGGATTGAGGTGGATGGGAATGAGGGAGTGGACAGCAAGGTTTGGGGAATGATACCCTTTTTGGAGGCATTCCTCAAATTACTTTACTTAGCATAAATAAATTCAATCCTGCCTCAACTGTACTTAGCACAATGCACTGCTCATGACACATGTTCAATAAATGTTTATGAACAGAAGAAATGTTATACGGAGTCAGGAGGACCTGAGTTCAAATTCAGCCTTAGATACTTGACACTTACTAGCTGTGTGACCTTGGGCAAGTCACTTAACTCTGTCTCACCTTAAAAAAAAGTTATACTATTCATTCAAGTCATTGGATAGAAGTCATACAACAGATTTTTATTAGAATAAAAGAGAGCAATGAATTATCTCTGTGGGAAATTTATTCTCAACTCACTTAAGTGAAAAATACCCCAAATTATTATTACTGTACAGCTACTTTATAGATATGTATTACTGCATAGTTAAGTAGACAAAACTATCATATAAATGATCTATATAAATCTAGATTATTATTACTATATAGATATTAGATGCCATAAAGATTATTACTGTATAGATTGATATATAGATATTATCTGTATAAATAATAGATATCATTATTATACAAATAGACTATATAAAGTTATTATTATATAGACAATCACCGTATGCATACACTGTACAATTTACTTTCAAAATTACCTGAAAACTGGGGAACATTTATAGGAAACATATATAAGCATCATAGAAAAGAGAACTAAATAGTCAAATAAGTTAAATGTAAACAATAATATTGTTTCATACTGATTTAATAGCATTTTTAAATAAATGCATTTAAATAAAATTTAATTCAGCTCAGAGGATCAAACAAATCAAACAAATAAATGTCAAAGATAAGTTAATGCCAGCAAATGTACTCACCTCTATCCCCATTGTTTCCTTTGGTGTCTTCTATTGAATCTAAACAATCAATAAGGACCTCTCCAGGTCTTGTTTTCATTTGTCTAAAATAAAGCATCAATGGAAATATATTATAATCTTTTATCTAGAAACAATGAAACCATTTATAATGCTTTCATTTATTGAATGAGCATATTTTGATTGCTAAAGTATGTACAAAATCCAAATTAAAGTGATGACATAGTCCTGGTCCTTCAGGAACTTAGAATTTAGTTAAGGAGACAAGCCATATGCACATGAAGTAATAATGCAAAGCAGTACATAATTACATGATAAAATGGTTCAATGTCAGCTCAGCAGGATTTTACCAGCGGAATGCCCCAGTGATCTCTGTTTGGCCCCATGCTATTTAACATTAATATCTGCGGACAATCACAAAGTTACTTTGAGCTCAAGTCATACAAGGATTGGTTGAAAGAACAAGGGGCATTTAGCTTGGAGACGAGAAATCACAAGGGACCCATGATAGCTGCTTCCAAATATTTGAAAGGCTGTGATGGGGAAGAAAGATAGGACTATTTTGGGCACTAGAAGGCAGATTCATTGTCAATGGGTAGAAAGTTTCAGAGGTCCATTTAGGTTTGATATCAGGAAAAACTTCCTAACAATTAGGGCTGCTGTTAAGGACAGTGGGCTGCCTTAGGGAGTATTAGATTTCCTCTTCATTGGAAGTCCCCAAAGAGAGACTGGCTGGCCACTTATCAGGTATGTTATACTGGGGATTCTTTTCAGGTATGGGTTGGACTAGGTTGTCCCTGCAATCTCTTCCCACTCTCAAATTCAGTGACACAAAAAAGAGGAAGTAGGACATTAGTTAGACCTTGAAAAATGGGTAGAATTTGAGGAGTTGGAAGGGTGAAATAAGGGAGAAGAATAAGACTGATCAGAGCAGTTAGGAATGACTGAAATATGCTCTGGGGATTATGGGGAGAATGGCTTGGCTGGAACAGAGATTTCAGGTTAGGGAAGACTACCACGAAGTAAAGTTGGATAGGTTAGTGGATGTTAAATTATGGAGGGACTTAGGTGTCAGCCTATAGAATATGGATTTTATCCCATTGACAATAGTCGATGGAAGATTTTGTGATAATTTATTGATAATTTGTGATAATTTACTGAAAAAGTGCTTTCAGAAGATTGGTGTAGATGGGTTGAAATGGGGTGAGAAGAAAGCAGAAAGACCAGTTACAAGATTGTTAGGGGCAGGTAGGTGGCACAATGGATAGAGCTCTGGCATTGGAGTCAGGAGGACCTGAGTTCAAATCCACCTCAGACACTTGGCACTTACTAGCTGTGTGACCCTGGGCAAGTCACTTAACCCTGACTGCCTTACCAAAAAGAAAAAAAAAAGATTTTATTGTAGTAGTAATCCAGCAGTGATTTGAGCCCTTGGGTAGGGGTCATTTTTTTTTTTTTGTCTTCTCTCTAGGGTTTTGTGACACGAACTCTCCTGTTTTCCTTCTGTCAGACCTCTTTCTGTGGATCTTCACTCAGGTCATGCCCACTAATTATGGGTATACCCCCAAGATTCTGTCTTTGGCTCTCTTTCTCCCTCGGAGACCTCAGCTTCCGTGGCTTCAGTTATTTCTATGCCAATGATTCTCAGATCTGCTTATCCAGCCCTAACCTCTCTCCTAATTTCCTGTCTCTCACCTCCAACTACCTACATACATCTCTAACTGGATGTACTAAAAACATCTTAAACTCAACACGTCCAGAACCAAACTCATTATCTTTTCTCCACAAACTCCCCTCTTTTTTCTAACTTTCCTATTACCGCGCAGAGCACTACTCCTCTCCTAGTCACTCCGGTTTATAACCTAGGTGTCATCTTTGAATCCTTACTCTCATCCCTTCCTCCACAGGCAGGACATAGACAATATTATAGATATATATTGGATATAGACCCAACCTGTTGCTAAGAATTCTCTCCCTCCTTCTCTCCACCAGACCCCACCTTCTACAAGAAGCCTTTTCCAATTCTGCTTAATCCTAGCGCCTTCCCTCCGTGGATTATCTCCAGTTCATCCTGTATACAGGTTGTTTGTACACAGTTTGCAGGTTGCATCTCCTATGAGAATGAGCTCCTGTAAAGCAGGGACTGTTTTCTGCCTTTGTATCTCCCCCCACCCCTTCCTCGGCACGGTGCCTGGCACACAGTAAGCGCTTAATAAATGTCTGCTGACTGCTAAGACGCTTCTACTATAGAAAGCTGAGGAAGAAGAGAGCTGAACAGCAACGGTGGTGGTCGGGAGATTCCTGAGCCCCTCACTGCCCAGGGGGGTGGTCGGTAGAAGCCAATCCCAGCCCGGGCCGGGCAGCCTCCAGGGCAGCTTTGGCCTCTCCCAGGGGCGGCGGCCATCTGGGGGCCTCGGACCCGCCTGGACCGTCGGACGTGCCCCGCTCATCCCAGGCCCCTATGGGGCAGTGACGCCCCTTGCAAGCCGCGGGGAAGCGGCCCTTTTGGGTGTGGTTTGCTACTCACTGAGACGACACGTCGAACCGGACATCTCGGTCCTCCCAAAGCGCGTCTAACACCGACATGGTAGCCTGGGCCTCGCGAGGGATTCCCGGGCCGCTTCCCTCCGGCTCCAAGGCAACCGTCCCTTTCTATCACGGGTTCTACGGCGAGCACCAGGAGCCAAGCTTCCCGAGAGATTGCGCCTGCGCCTTTCCTAACCCTCCTCCTCCTCCTCTCTCCCGCTCCCCCGGGATTAGCTGCAGTTACTGTGGCGCCTGGCGCCCGGCTGCCTGTTCCTTGTTCTTCCCAGTGCCTGCCACTGGGAGTGGAGTTTGCAGGCTGAAGGCTCTTTGCTAACTGACCCAAACGCAGCTATTTCTGCAACTCTATAGTCTTGCCAGCTCCCATCTACCTTAGACCGCTCTTCCCTCGCCAAATCCTTCTCCCTCCGCCCCCGCTCCATTAATTCCCAGAAGCTCAAATCCCCTAGGAAATCCGAGACTGTAATAGTTTTATCCTGTCAGGCAGTCGGTCAACAAGCATTTGTTAACCTCCTACTATGTGCCACGCACTGTGCTAAGCGTGTATTAGGCACTTGCTATGTGCCTAGTATCGTGCTAAACTCTAGGGGTGCAAAGGAAAAAGACAATCTCTTTCCTCAAGGAGCTCATAATCTAATGGAAAAGACAGTATGCAAATCACTAAGTATAAATAAGCGATATATATAGGATAATTTGGGGATAACTGAAGGAAGGTTATGAAGAATGGGGTGTCTGTCACAAGAAAGTAACAACCTCCGCTCCCCTTTATTCTGGTTTTAGACCAAACCAAAAAAGTTGTATATGTTATAGCTTTTTTTTTTAATTTAAAGAATTACCTAGTTCTTTTCTTTACTTTTCTCCTTACTACCCAGGAGCAGCCTAATTTTCCTCAAAATATCATCCAAGCTACCTAGTGAATTTGAGGAAAGAGTTAAAACGATTTATGTTTAAGGAAAAGCTCTACTCTTCCTTTCTGCCACATCCAAAAGTCAGCTCTTCCATAGAGTGATGAAACTTGAAGCAAAACATTTAAAAAGCTCTTTTCTCTCTCTCCCAGCCTGTTGACTACATTGTCCTTTCTTTGCCTTGTTCTCGAAACCCTTCCCCCAATGATCCCAAAGTATCACTTTCTACCAGAGCGCTTCTGTGCTTGAAATTCCTACTTTGTCATTTGGACTAAAAAGTCACTCTCTCCGTCCAGCCACACTCGCATTCCTTAGCACGGCACGTTAGCGATCCGTAATTCTCTCAGCGTGGATTCATTTATCAAATTATCTGGAAATGGGATCCAGGTAAATTCAATGAGGATGAGGTGGAGTTTATAGAATAGTGGTGGGGGGAGGGCAGACTGGAGTTGGGATGGTGAAGTAAGTTGGCAGTCCGGAGGGCACATGAAGATCTTTCAGAGTAGGGGTTGAATGCTGCCCAAAACAGACTGTCCTTCACTGTTATGATGACCAAAAATTAAGCTGGCTAAAGGCTGCATGAGTGAAACCTGGACAAGAACTGGCTCAGATCAGGGACACAAAGTCTTGATAATGCACCTGTTGGCTCAATGGAAGGTGTTAAGGCTTCTATTCCTTTCCTTCCTTAATCCTTGCTTGAAGGCAGCATGATACAGGGCAAAGGAGTCAGGATACTAGTCAGAGCATCTTGGTTCAAATACCAGCCCTGACACTTGGCAAATCACTTAACCACTCTAAGCCTGTTTCTTCATCTGTAAAAGGAAGGCATTGTATTAAGTGACCTCTAAGGTCCCTTCCAGCTCCAAATGGTGACATTTAAAAAGTTCGAGAGACATAGTTTCTGGTAATTAATCTTTTTATTAACAATGCTAGCATTTTATTAATAAAAGAGGTGATGGCAGTCTCAAATGCCAAAGACCCTCATGGTGGAGGGCTCACAACTAATATGCCCTTGGAAAAGTGGGTGTTCCTGAGGGTAGCAGTCAACTCTAATTGGTTAACAATTAATGAGAAAATGAATATTACAATGAGAGGTGGGCTATATTACAATGAAGGTCTTGAGGTATGTGATAATGAGCTCTCAAATCTTGATCAAGGAGACTTGTCAATGTCTGTATTGCCTGTCTGACAAAAGGGAGGATACACATTTTCCAGACCTGAGTAAGCAATGAGCAGGAATCCACCCATTGCCTAAACTTAGAATTTTTCCTACTGTCTTTGATTATATCTGAGCCATCTTTTGTAAGTCTTTGAGAAAGATTTCCCACACTGGTTGATTTTTGGATGAGGAAGTAGAAAAGGGGAAAAACCTTGGTCCTAATTCAATAATAAATTGTTCAATACAATACAGAAATTATCATTTCTCTCAAAATCTAGGATCCTATGATTGATGACTGCTTATCTGGGATCTTGGATGCACTGAAGAAATGAAGAGGAGAGAAATACTAATAAAGAATAATAGCTTCAGCCAAGAGATAAAGGTCAACAGAATCTAGAATGAATCCAAGGATTAGGGGTACTCGCCTGAAACTGACCTGCCCAGCAGGGATTATGATGATTTATGTTAATGACTTCATAACAAGAGTAAACAACTAAGGAGGACATCTGGATTACTGATGTTTGAATGACATTTGGGAAGGTACTTAGGAAGAAAGAGGGCTATTAGTAAGAAAATGGATATAGTTTAATTAATATAAGGCTCCCTGACCCTTCTGTATTTAAGAGGAAAGTTTTTTTCCAATCTCCTTTGCTGGAACAGCATTTGTATCGACTCCGAAGCATGGCCCCAAGCCTCTGCATTAGGACCTAGTACCTCTGCTGTGAGAGCTTGCCAAACACTTTCACCTGTGATATCCACCTGATGCTCAACTCTCACCTGTGGCTCCAAGAAGCTGTTGCATACACAGTGTCCGCATCCTGGTAAACCATCTCAGTAGACCAGGTTGAGGGTAACTGATGGACCCAGTTAGTGGGGTGTCTACCTAAGCATGAAAAGATTTCCCTGGGTGAAATGGGTAGATGAGAACAATTTGTTCCAACCTCCATGGAGGTGGCTAAAGCAGGCACTATGGAGCATTTAGAGCTTGGTCAGACATCAAAGAAGCCAAGATCATCCAATGCATCCCGCACTATCAAATGCATCCTGCACCATTGACAGTTGTCCTGACTTTTGTCTTGTTACTGGACTTCAATGACTCGGGAAGAGTGAGGCTGACAACTTTGTGCAACTCTGCCTTACTTAAATCCAATTCACTCATGAGTCAAAACAGCAAACTGTGATGTTATCAGTCCTCTTCAAGAACGAAGGACAAAGAACAGCAGCTGCCCTCTTGTGAATCATCATCTCTATGCAGATGACCTAGACATGTATCCATACCCATTCTCTCTTCTGAGCTTTGGTTCTATATCAACATCTGCTGACATTTTCCCATTGGATGTCTCATTTGCACCTGAAATTGATCATATTAAAAAGAGAATGTATCATCTTTCCCCTCTAACTCATCCATCATCCTAACTTCCTTATTTTTGTTGAGGGCACCACCACCTTTCCAGTCACCGAGGTTTGCAACAATGGAGTCACTGTGACTCTTCATTCTTTTGAATTCCCCACAGTCAGCTGCCAAGTGTGGTTGATTTTTACTTCCACATTTCTTGTGTGTGTCCCTGTCTTCCTATTCACACAGCCCAGAACAACTGGGTTCAAGCCTTCATCACCTCTCACATGCACTTGCAACCAGCTTCTAACTGGTATTCTGCCACATTTGTCACCCCTATCTAACACACTCACCACATGTTGACAAATTGATATTCCAACAGCACAAATCTGTGCCACTCTCCAGCTCAAAAAAGCTACAGAGGCTTCCTGTTACCTTTAAGATAAACGATTCCTTTGTTTGGCATTTAAAGCCTTTCATAATCTGGCCTCAGCCTACCTTCCTGGTTTATTACATATTATTGTGTTCCAGCAAAAGGGGCCTATTTGCTATTCCTAATATCCAATGATTCATATCTAATCTTTGTGCCTTTCTTCTCCATTACCTAGAATATACTCTATCCTCACCTCCATCTCTTGGATTACTTAGATTTTTTTTTTTTGTCTAGGCAGTGGGTGACTGCCCAGGATCACACAGCTAGTGTCAAGTGTATGAGGTAGAATTTGAACTCAGGTCCTCCTGACTCCAGGGTGGGTACTCTCTCCACTGCACCTAGGTTCTTTTAAATACTGACAAGGCCTTTCCTAATGCTCTCCTCACTCCCTGTCCCCCCGCAACTATCTTGCCCAACTACCTTATATAAATTTTATATTGACTTATATGTGTGCATGTTGCTGCGCCAGACCCACTGTAATCTTCTTGAAAGGGGCTGTTTTGATTTGGTTTTTGTATTTCTAGCACCAAGCAGATTTCCTGGCACAGAAAATAATTAATAAATATTCGTTAATTGTTGAACTGTATGTTCATAGCTGTTTATTTCTCCTGGAAGCCTGCTTTTGGGGCAGAGAGACTTGGGGGAGACTTTGACCTTGGCTCTTAAGCAGGAAGAGTTGACTATGTAGAAAGGACAAAGGCGACAACCTGGGAACAGGTAGCATGCTGAGAGATAAACTCTGGCAAGGCCTATCAGAAGATCTGGACTGAGTTCATTCTGTGATATAGTTGGAACTTGAGTGGTAGTACCAACACCCCGCAGTTCCTAGATGGTGAGATCTGGCCCATTGGACTTGATTCATCTGGATTTCTCTACTGCTGAGCAAAGCCACATTCCCCTCTCCCTGTTGACTGGGTGTGCCAGCTTTCATTTTGTATCTGTTGCTTTCAATTGGGATCACATTTACTTACTATAAAACCTTGTTGACTAGTAGAAATGCTAAGCCATATGTGTGTTATTTCAACTTTACAAATAAGGAGATAATATGGGACAGAATGTTCCTTATTCTAGGGAGATGAAAGGTTTGTTCAAAGGGTGCTGATCTCAAGGCTCCATAAAGTAATTAGAAAAATCCAGATTTCTCCAGAAGACTTATATAACTGATTCAAAGTGAAGTGAGCAGAACCAGGAGAAGATTGTACATAGTAACAGTAATATTGCAAGGATGATCAACTGTAACTTAGCCACTCTGATCAAGACAACGATCCAAGACAATTTCAAACAACCCATGATAAAAGACGCTATCCACCTCCAAAGAGAGAACTGAACT